CTGTGTCTCTCTCTGTCTCTTCTTTCTCATTCTTTTAATATGAATCACCAACCAAGGAAGCATGCAGGCTGAAGAAGCAACCCCTAATGGTAGAATAAGATTGTCGTATGAGAGTTATGAGGAAAGGAAAGCTTCAGCAAACCACAATGATTGTCACCTGCCCGGAAAGTTGCTTTCTCCATGTCTATGACCCCAGGAGTAGTTTTGCGGCTGTGAACGGCATACGAGGAAAGCAAACAGGGAAATGTGCATTTTCCTATTGTATAGGTAGCAATTGTGGTGTAGCAGCTAGACACAGCCAGTCCCAAGGTTTTGAGTTCGAATCTGCATTGAATATAAAAAAAAATTTCTTAGGAAATGACCTTAGCCCTAGGAAGTAAAAGTGACTAGCGTAATGTTGACCAGATCACTCCCCAAGTGCCGACTGATCTGCAGAAATTTTGGCCTGGCTTCAAATGCATGATTTACCACTGGCATGAAATAGGGTCATTTAATTTACTTTTGCTTTTTACAGCCATTCAATGGGGAAGTTATGACAAAGGTTTAAAAGAATTTCAGCTTCCACCCCCACCCAATTATATGCCTATCAAAATTTTAAGGAGCACGTGGTATGGAGTCTCCTGATATTTTCTTACTTATTGGGGGTGGGGTAGAGGCTAAGCCTGCATCCAATTTTGGCTAAGATGGTGAGAATGACGTGGTTCAGGTGAGGCTGCATTCGCCCTCCTTTACTTTTTCCCCAATTGTTTTTTTTAAGGGGGGTGGGGGGGGGGGGGGGGGGAGAAGACGCCCCTCCAATTTTTATTTGAAAAATGTTTCTGGCTGATTCCACGTGGGGGTTCTGGGGCCCCATTGTTAGGAACACAAGAATGTCCTAGGAGTCGACTTCTTCTTGTGTTCGCTTTCTTTTTTACACAAACAGGTTCTTGTGATAAACTGCTTGACTGTTTTTAGGAGTTCCTTTTTAGTTCCATACAACTTAGGGTACAGTGTTCCCTTCTTAATGGGCTGAACAAAGGACATTCTTGCAGGACATGTTCTGTAGTCTGCACACATAGCCCACAAGGCACAAAGGTGAACTACTTAGACGAAGCCTGTGCATAAGCTGGTTAAGTTTGTTATGTCCTGTCCTGAGAGGTATGATAATAACCTGCTCATGCCGGTGAAGTAAGTGGTAGTCATCGCTGGCCAGACTCTGTTCACTTCTAATAGCCTGGATGGCCCCTTTCTTCTCATAGTATATTACTGCATTCTCTTCCTGGTCACATTCTGCCCCTTACTTATCAAGTGTATCTGCGGTTTCATTTCCTGGTATACCACAGTGGGATGGCACCCACTGAGTGCAGTACGCTTTTGGGCAGCCATCTTTCCATCAGGTGAGGAAGTTTGCGCTCTTGAGAGCTTGGAGCACCGATAGCGCATCTGTGAAGAAAACCACTTGGTGGCAGTCAGAACTGTTGTTGTATAAGATTTAGGCAGGCAGCCTGCTCTAGTGTTATGATCTTTGCACAGCCTTCTCTATTTATTAGAGATGGCATTGGATCTCTGCTGTGTAACTGGAACAGAATTTACTAGTGGGTATACACTTTGTGTGGCGATGGTTGCCTGGGTATATAATAAAGACTCCAGCACCCCCAGCAGCTGTTCGTTTTTGAAGATCATTGGACTCATCTCCAGTTGTGAATCCATTGACTGAAGTCATTATCTGTATTGTATCACCGACTTACTCACAAGGAACAGAGTATAGGGTAAGTTTTAGCGGTGTTATTCTAATAAGTAGATCTGCTTGATAATGACTTCTAAGTCTTTTCCCCCGATGGACAAAGCTGCTATGTTTGAGACACCCCAATGCCAGATCATCTAACCTTTCATTCATTGGGTGTGACTGCATACTATTAAATTTCTCCATCTGGATCATAGTTTTAGCATCTCTTCTATATGACAATGTTTGCATTGCAGTTATTTTCTGCTTTTCAGGTTTGGTACAGTTTTCATGGATCCTGTGGGCTTGGTTTTGCACTCTGTCTAAAGATTGTAGTTGTGAATAAGCAGCTGTTGACCATTCAGTTGCACCAAACTCCAAATGGGTCCTCTCTCTCTATTATAATTGTTCAGGGTTTTTTCATTTGCTCCCTATCTTGCTCATGCCAGTTTTCTGAGTAGGACTAGTCGTCCACTGGCCTTTCCTTCTACATTTTCTATGTGTTGGCTCCACGTGAGGCTTTTATCCAATGTTACTCCAATATAAGTGGGGAAGCTTTCTTCTTTTTGCAAGGATGTACCTAGGTGAATGCTAGCAGCTCTGTCCCCAGGGAAAAGAGAGAAAAATGTTGGGGATGTTTTGTCTGTTGATGGCAACATGCCACTTTTCTGCTCATGTCGATAAGAGATTTGCTGCTCGCAGCATTTTTTAGATTTGCCACTGTGGTGTGTTCATCAGTACACCAGAGTGCCAGATCATCTGCATACAGGGCAGTCTTTACTTTTGTTGAGCGGTCTGTCACTAGGTCATTGATATAAACAAAGATAAGAGATCCCCCGTGTCGGTTCCGGGGCCCTATTATAGGGAAAACAAGAATAGAACACTGCCTACCCAGAAGCATGTCGTAAGAGTCAAATAATTGGGAGCTTCCTTCAAAGTCTGAGTGCGTCTGCCTGAGAGGCAAGGAAGCACCAGTCTGCATACAAATGAGTCAGATCTGTAAAACGGATGCACACGCAACACTCAGGTTCTAAGTGTTTCCTGACATTCCTGGAGTGTGCTGGACCAGTACGGTCTGTAGTAGTGTCGACAACCTCTGGGGAAGTTAGGACGGCTGGCGTAATGCTGACCACATTACCTATTTAGTGGCGATTGGTCTGTAAAAAAAAATATGGGACGCTCTTCTCAAATACCCGATGCGCCTAAGGCGTGAAAAGGGATCTTTACTATATATATATATATATATATATTAAGATAAGCCACTAGAAACAGATGTAATGTGAGTGTTGGAGAAAATGTTTGCCTCGTTTTTCCTTGTGGGTATACTATATGTCGTATTAAAAAAAAAAAAATTGACCAGCTGCTTCCTTTACAAGCATGTCGGAGGTGGTGACTAATTAGGGATGCTTCCTTCGAAGTGTATTTGCTGAGAGGCAAGGGACGACAGCCTGCATACACATAAACCAGACATGTAAAACAGATGCATACGCAAAAATTCTGGTTCTGGAGAAACAGAAACATACACTCATACAGGACTTCCTACCGGAGTTTACAGCCGGTGAACGCAAACAAACTCAAATGTGACGGAGGGAAAAAGGCATTTCTGAAGAATACCTTTTATGGAATTTTTTGACTTGTTGTCTCGTAAGGTGATAAAAACAAAACCACCTTATAATAGCCAATTTTTATAATTTGTATCAATTTTTACTATGAATAATGAAATTAAATTTCGAAAATGTGTTGAGGTAGAAATACTATAATGGAAATTCTAAGTACACCATTTTACGAGAAAGATCGAAAGCTAAAATTAGCATATGACGATGGAGATCTCGTTTGCACAAACACTCCAGGCCAGGGTTGCCATATTGGCATTTTTTATGCCATTTCCACAAATCTGGCATATTTGAAATTGAACTGGCATAAGATAATCAACTGGCATATTTTGGCATATTTGGGTTTTTCCTGGCTTTTCTTATCAAGATGTGCTCAAATTTGCTTCATGGTTCCTCCGTTAGAAACATGCAGATTTGCTAAAATTAATTTAGATCTACAGTTAACATCTTTTTTTCAGTTTGACTTTGTTGTGATGTCCTGGTACGGACTAACTGTGATTCGCGCTATTTCTTATTGTATTTTGTTGTCTCTGAAACAGATCATGACTTCGATAAACCCAGGCCCTCTGTAATTTATGTTAATCTACTAGAATAAATTCGGGATATAAAACCAAAACCCACAACTGATACCAATTGATTCAGACTGTTCAGAAACTACTTAAGGACAGAAAATAGAGAGGATATAGACCTAGTTCTATCTGTGTTCGATATTACTTTTACCAATGGTCACGTCATCCAAAAAAAAAAAAAAAAAATGGAAAGCATCTTAAGACATCGCAAGTATAATAGTAAAAGGAAGAAAACATACCCACGGCTCAAAAGATCTTCAGAAGGATCAGAAGCAGACTATTGTAAACGGTGTCAGTGTACTGTTGCACCAAGAATTAGTAGCATATTAAATCATGAAAAATCCGATGAACACAGGATGAAAACTCTGTCAAAAAGCCAGTCACAGCTTATTACAACAATAACTTAAAGGCAAAGTAATGATAAAGTTAAAGGCAGCAGAGTTGCAACTTGCTGTAGGCATGACCTGCCATTGTGCAATACGCACAATTGATCATCTAAGTGAAATCATAAGAGCTCATGGTCGGGGTAGTACATTGGAGCACATACAGCTGCATATAGTTAAATGTTCATGCCTAATAAAAAATATGTTATCGCCTGCACTTAAGGGTGATCTTATTGGTGATTTTCGGAACAATAAATATTCCATCATTATAGATGAGTTGCAAAGAATCCCATCTGAGAAAATGCTTAAAGATTTTACGTCCGAAAAGGTTTACGCCGTGTCTTCCACTTGTTCCAGTGAGGATGACGGTGAAGAATTCAATCTATAGCTTTTGATGTGCAGCGAGTACAATGTTATACCTTATCTGGCATTTTCTGGCATATTTTGAGTAATGGTTTGGCAAAAAATTCAGTTTTTCATCTGGCAACCCTGCTCCAGGCCCAGGTCCAACATCAAAACACAGGAGCTTCCCCCGACCGGAAGCGGCACTTCTATCGAGAAAGATCAATATTTCCTAGCCAGTGATCGAAAGGGGGGAGCCTCTTGAGATTTTATTGATCCCCCCTTTCGCTCCCGAACTTGTGACAAAGAATTCGTCCTGTTCGAAGTCCTAGGACGCTCAAAACAAAGAAATGCCGTGGCGGCCTTGAGGGTCCGACTTTCAACTTCTAAGATGGCTTCTTCTCCTTGTACTTCTGGAATTGTTCTTGATTTATCGCCTTTCACATCTGCCTCTGCAGCAGCAGCCGAGGGAACAGATCCAGAATTACAGTATTGTGAGGATGAACAAGAACTGTTGTTAACTGCAAACACGTGCGATGATTGTAACAAGGGTGCATCTTACGAAGAGGCCTTCCAGGGACCACACAAGTGGAGACGGCATCTACGTCATGTTCCATCGAAACGCTCCAAGAAGAACCAGCAGGGTGAGGAATCCTCCAAGGATCAAGAGAGTCATTACCACCGATATTTCGACAGCGAGTCTGACAACCCAAATGACGAAGAGTAAGTTGATAACGTGCATTAATTTTTTAAATTGTTGCATTTTCAATAAGAATTGTATAATTAGTTTTATTATGCTCTCACTGTCAGTTATTGTTTTGTTTACATTTACACCTTTTTGCGGTATTGTGGTGTGTACTAACCTGTATTATTATTTATACAGGTCTCTACATCATATAAGTCTCATTTCTATGGCTATTTATTAGTATTATGCACATAGATATGTATGTTTAATATGAATTAAATACAGAAATAACATACATCACACATCTTCATTAACATATAATTATAAATATTAATAAACTAGACACAAAAGGACACCAGTTAACTATAAACTATAATTAACCTGTTTTTTTTTCATTCTGTACCAATCACTGTGGGTTTAGTTAGTTTTCCATAGACCAGGACTATAGTTACTGACAACATACATCAATTTAGTTAAAAACACACTTCAGTCATCTGTTTTTGTGTGTATTGTGCTATTGGGGAGCTTGTATTTACATTTCATAATTTATTGATTCCGATTTAGCTTTAATTCTCAGTTGGTTTAAAAAAAAGTTATCTCTGTCATTTAAAAATTCATATAGACTGACTGTTTAAACACAGCACGCTATGTAATAACTGGAATAGCGCCTTTACCTGCCCCCCCCCCCCCCCCCCCCCCCCCCCCCCCCCCCCCCCCCCCCCCCCCCCCCCCCCCCCCGCCCCCCCCCCCCCCAAAAATCTGTCTCCGCAGTGGGGATTGGCTGCAGCGAATATATGCATTGACTGCTATCTTTGGGTATATTACTTTTTGAGGCCCCAGTCTCTGACAAAATTTCTTTCCAATTTCTGTTAAAAATAATATATTAACATAAAAGTACCCTTTTCATTGCCTTCAAGCAAATAGTGCTAAACCTGTTTTTTTTTTTTAAATTAGACTAATTAAGACTCGGTGGGTGATGTGATAAATATCATGCTGGCTGCTTTTACTTCCTTGGACTTTACCTGGTTCCACGTGTGGCACAGGACAATAAGGAATTTGGGTCAGATCGAAAATTTTTGGAAAAGTTCTTATTCACACATCTTAGTTTGCCTTCTGTCAGATTCAGTGCTTGTTTTTGTATAAAATATATTATTTTAATGCAATATTAACATTTCCCTGAGCTAATCTTAGTTGTCTATTTATTGTAAATTGTTCCGAAATCCACGATTAATGGGGCCTAGCGACAGGACTTGCGCAGGGATATACCTGTATGTGTCATATATCATTGTAACTGTTATTATGTCCCCTGCATTGTTTGGTAAGTTTTGGCGTTTGGATTATCACTTTTCTAATTCAAGGCTCTTTCATTCATCCTTACAATCTCTCAGAAACTTCCATGTATTAGTGAAGACATGACCTTACTCATTATCATAAGCTGTGCATGAATCCTACTGGCTGAAACTGATCACATGGGTATCCAATTCTCCAAGATGGCAAATGTGATGGATTGTTTACATTGAGACTGCAAAAAATGCTGCAAAGTGAAAAATGCATAATTCATCATCATCCTTTATGTGCATTATACGTCACATAGAGCTTACATTCAGTAGCTCCACTCCGCTCTATTGCACGTGAATTTCTCAATTTCTGACATGGAGTTCAGCCTAGCTTTCTTTGCCTCTTGTGATAATGTTCTTTTTCATGTTTCCCTTTTATGTCCTCTTTTTTTCAGACCGTTTGTTCCCTATTTCGGTGCCTGTTTTGTAATTCTTTTCCTCATTTTGTTTTAGAGTGCCGAATATACCTCCACCTTCTTTGTCTTATTGCAGTCGATAAGAGTATTTGTCCAGACATTTCTCTGATCTCACCATTTTTGGAATTCATTCTATTTTATATTCATGGTTTTTCTCAAACATTTTCAGATACATTTAACTTTCGCTTCATAATTTTGGCGGTTCTCCAATTTTCCCTAGCATATGCTAGAATTTAAATAACAGAATTGAAGATCCATAATTTGGTCTTAGGTGACCTTCTCTAGCAGCGGTTGATCAGCGGTGTTCAATATAAAACCCTATACGATATCAGAACGTAGAAATTAAATAGTATACAGTTTTATTTTTGTCTTCTTCTTCTTTGCGTTCACCATCTGTACACTCTGGCGGAAAGTTCTGGTTGCTCGTCCACTACTGAACTGCAGTCCTGCTCCAGAACCTGAGTGTTGTGTGTGCATCAGTTTTACAGATCTCATTCTCTTGAATACAGACTGCTGGTTCCTTGCCTCTCCGGCAGATGCACTCCGACTTCAAAGGAAGCTCCCCAATTAGTCGACTCTTACAACATGCTTTTGGGGAGGCAGTGGTCTATTCTTGTTTTCCCCACACTGGGGCCCCGGAACTCACACGGGGGTATATTTTTGTCTGACTCACATGGCCTTCTGGGTTGACCTGGGAGTCAAGGTTATTTTTCAAAACATCTGGCACCTTTCAGATTTGAGCCCATGACCTTCAGATCAGCAGGTGAGCATCTAGCTGCTACCCACAGCGGCTCCCAATATGTTTATTTAGAGTCATTAAACTGTAAAGGTAAAACCGGGAGATGTGAACCAGCGTCATCGCACCCGGTTATAAACCAAAAGTGCTCTGCCACCAGTACGGACAGCTGATGAGGAAACTGTCCGCCTGTGTCGCCGTCCGCACGTAGCTACAGCAACGTTCCTCCATTTACCCCAGAGTGTTAACTCTGGTACCCCTTTCCTAGAGGCTGGGTGAACCCTGAAAGCTGCCAGGTTTCGAACACCGACCATGGCTGCAGCGAGTCGCAGCTGGATTTGAAAGCGAGCCTCTTATCAACTGCGGAATGAAACCACTTAACGATAATACTGTGCTTGCGTGAAAATTTACTGCTAATGGTTGTCCTACTGAGTAATAACCTTTTGCAGACCTTGATTTTTTGAAGTCATAGCTTGCCTCTGTTTGTGTATTTTAAGGGCTTGTTTATTTAGATATTGGTAAAGCAGATACAAGACTTGAGGTGATGCATTTGTTTTGAGTGGGTACTGATTTCAAAAAATGAGTATATATGATATGTGATGGAGTGTAGAAATTGGCTTTTTAAGAGAAAATATTATGCAAAAATGTCGTTGCAAGACAAAGATCAAATCTTTTTTTATCTTCCTAGCTTCCACAGATTGTAAACTTCAACAATAGGAAGTTCTAGTTGTTTGTCCACTTCTGCACTAGAAGTGTTGTTCCAGAACTTGAGTTTTGCATGTACATTCATTTGAGAGATCTGGCGTACTTGAATGCAGACTATTGGTTCATTGCCTCTCAGGCAGATGCATTGTAACTTTGATGGACAGGCTTAAGATTGATTGCCTTTTACAGCATGCTTGTATGTGGGTGGGGGGGGGGGGGGGATGGGTCTATTATTTTCCCCCAAAATGGGCTCCTGGAACCCACACAGGGAGAATCAGACCTCTAAATAATGATTTGTGACTTTAAATTAAGTATGCAGAGTTAAAATACTTTAAGCTTAGGCCAGAAAGGGTTAACAGTGTTTCCTAAATTAATTGTCTTTATCTTTACTTCTTCAAACCACAAAAGAATTCACCATTTACACTGTGAGGCAAATACCTTCAACCAGTAATCTGAACTACCCACTTTCAGCTAGTCTTTTATCTAGCGCCACTTGAGTTTTGATGAGTTCACTGTGTTGTCTTTTACAGCCAGTATTAAGTGTACTCAATCAGTGACTTAATGTCTCCATTGGGGCTATATCTGACTTGAGATTAAGAGAGGCTGGATTCTCCTGCATGTTGTCCCATGATTTTATGCAATATATGATAACCATTACTGTTATTTTCCCACGTGTGCAAATGACATATAAACAGGATATACAGACATTACAGATACTGTTAGTGCAGATATTATTGCTTTAACTTGAAGTTTTATTAAGTATTGCTTTAGGCTGTTTTGTTCAGTGCGATTTTGATTACAGCAAGTCAGTCGAAAATTCACTTAACTCTGTCCTATCATCATCACTATAGGCAAAGGATAATAGAAGTTGTCTGCTCTTGCCACTTTATTTGTACCTGCTAACAGCATTTCTCTTCTATTTTGCATCAGCATAAACCTTGATAATCTTGGGTGCCTGAGATGTAGCTTTTTCTTGGATATTCGTGCAAATATATTTGGTGAAATAACAGTTAATCTCTTAAGTGTGTAACTTGAAAGTTGAATTAAGAATCAACATCACAGCACTAGAGACACTTCCATAAGTGCTCAGTTTCCATCGTCAGCAACAAGCGAAGAGTTCCAATTCAATGGTACCAGTAACTGTCTGATCGTTTTCATCCTTCCCCTAGAGTGTTGAGCGCCGGCCAGATCCCCTGGTAACTCATCATAGCACCATTCTCCTCAGACTGTAATGATCTAACTGCGGCTTCGCACTGTTCACCCGTTCCCAGAGGGGGCCCTCATAATATCTAACTTGTCATACGTCAGTTCACCACCAGATAAGTAAATTATGTGAGCCCAATTGCTTCCGCAGTGGCGGTTTTTGTTTTGTTGCAGACTGCTCAAGTCTCAATGTATGCTCATAAATTGTAAAAATTCCAATTAAAAAATGAATTTTTTCATTCATTCTTCTTGGTTTGGCCTACTGCTTTAATTCTTAACAAAAATTAGAACTGTTTAATTGACCGTTGAAACAAACGCATGCACAGAAGAGATTATCACCACAGCCTGTATTTGCCACTTTTAAATATACATACACAATATAGTGTAGGTTTTTTGTGTGGGGGGGGGGGGGAGGATCTAGAGCCTGAGGGTCTAAGGCCAAGTGGCTAATGTAGTCGCCACAAATTTGCTGGCCAGAAAGCAATTTCCATCAGCGTACTAGGAGTTTTAAGCCATGTCTCCCGCATGAGAATGCAGTTATCTAACATTTGGCCAGCTGCTCCTCATATTAATTAAAATTGTCCTTTTGTTGTGCTATGTGCATGCATGGTCATGTCGTTGGACATATAAATAATTTTTTTGAGGCGAACAAATCATTGACCAAGAGCAGCTGTGTTTTGTTTTCTTTATGTACGCAGTACATAATGTTACCTTGTGCCTATTTCAGGTATTCACAGGAGGTCAGTGACTCAGCTGTTCATGAATATGCTCATGGTACAGAAGGTTTGACGGACCAGGATTCAGTAGCCAACATCCCACCTTGGAAGCAGGAACTACTGGAGAAATCATCCCAAAAACGAGTAAATACATAATCTGTTGCTTGTCACATTCACCTACTTGTATTCTGTTTAAATAGGGTTCTTTTTTTTTTTTTAAATTTTTATTTAGTAACTTATTTCCGCCATTTTATTTCAGCTATCTCTAGCTGTTAAAAGACATTAAATATCTAATACCAAACTCAAAATATTTTGTTATTGGTCAGATCAGTACCCTCTCGCCCGTGTGTCACCGGGGCCCTCACGGGAAGCAAAGAATAGTGACACTACACCCTACCAGGCATGTCGTAAGAGGCGACTAAGGGTAGGGTTGGGCTTGAGGTTGGCTACCTCATCCTGTAAAAACCATAGCCACAAAAACCAACCAACCATGGATAAGTCAAAAAGAGAAGCAAATAAAACCCAGCCAACCAAGATGAGGGGAGGCTCTTCAAATAGAAGTATGACACGGTGTGGAGAAAGCCGTAAGGAGTCCGGATTGTTGACTTACCTCCTCTCAGCTAGGAAAACCTCCAGAAACAGGCTTCAGTGGATCAGGAGGTGAGGAAAAGACGCTGGCGTTGGATAGGGCACACACTGAGAAAACAGGAGAACAGCATAAAACACATGGAAAAGAGAGCTGGAGAATGAGGTTAGAAAGATTGGGAGGACATGGGGAGAGCTCCAGGTAATGGCGAAGGATAGAACGACTTGGCGTGAGTTGGTTGAGGGCCTATGCTCCATTGGGGGATAGAAAGGCAGAAGAAGAAGAAGTACCCTCATTTGGACCAAAAACTCAGCAAAAAGTTTTGCTTTTCATCCACTTGTGGACTTCTTTCTTGTTCAAGAACCTGGGTTGTGCCTGCACATCTGTTTTTACAGATTTTGTTTGTATGCAGACTGTTGGTTACTCGCCCTTTAGGCAGGTGCATTCCGACTTTAAAGGAAGCTTCCCTAATTAGTTGACTCTTATGACATCTTGTTAGGAGGCAGTAGGTCTGTTCTCCCCCCCTCCCCTCTGCACAATTGTGCCCTGGAACCCACATGGAGTTGGGACAGAAACACTTGATAAGACACAGGGAAAAAACCCGACTGATAATAGTCACAACCTGAATGTCTTTATACTGAAACATACAAGGCACAAGAGATAGAGACTTATCAAACACATAGAAACAAATTTAGAGATTGGAGGCATATGAAAACATGAAATAAAAAAATTAAGAAGTTAGTGGCATATCAAAAACACATGAAAAAGTAAATTAAGAGACAAATGAAAAATTTGAAAAGAACTTGGAGTGAGCCACAGGAGTGGCCAAAATATAGGACTACTGTGTGAGTCTCATGCCAGCCATCTTTGTTGCCTCTTAAGACATACATAAAATATTTTAGTGTTTTAATTTGTTTCATTTAGATGCAAATCTTGTGGCCTCACTTGTCATTTATGTGTACTCTGCAGATGTACAAGCAACCAAACAATGTAACAGGCAGTCAGATGTCACAGGTATGTGTATAAAACACTGTTGCGTAAATGTTTTAGAACACTGTTTCTCATTTGGGTGTCCACTGACTCCTGGGGGACTATGAAACAAATTTAAGGGGTCTGTGGTGTCATTGAATGACCGTTGACACTAGACAGACCAAGAATACAGTAGAGCGATAATCAACATGCAAATCTACAAACACTTGTGGTCACCAACTGCAAAGAGAGGACCAACCACAGAGATAAATGGAGGCAATTGATATCTGCCACAATGAACCTCAAAGGCTTGGATTGCTGAAGAAGGATAAGCGATGTCATTTACAACACACAAAATAATCCCTAGCTCTTTTTTTATTTTTTTATTTAAAGTTTTGATATTTATAAATTAAAATAACCTCCAAAATGAGTGCTAAAAAGTATTGAGTCCTTGGCAACCATTCAAACTTTTGAGAAAAAAATTTAAAAGGGGCTACAGGTCTTAGCTGTTTAGGAACCAAAATCTTAGAGCAAATCAGATTACAAAAATGTTGTTTTTGCTTTAAGGAGAAATATTTATATTCTGATAAAGTATTTAGCTTTGGTGTTGGCCATCCGGTAATCACAAAAGCCATCTAAAAATAAACTTTGTAAGGGTCATGTGCTTCATTTGATGATAAAGTTAGAAGACGCAAAAAGAAGAAGAAGAAGAAGAAACTACACAAATTGATGATGTGTACCAACAGTTTATAATTTTGCATCCAGTTTCCATCAATTTTTAGTTGTTCTAATGAAAATTGTTAAGTAGTTTCAGTTCCACCCGCTGACCCCACATCTGATTACCTTGGTCTCATGTGTTTTTGCTGTTTCCTAATTCTTTGACTGTGTGACTTTTGGTGCAAGTTTTTTGGCGCCAAGGTCATTATAAAATAAAATAAGCTTCGATGCGTATTTAAACCTTAGACTTTTGGGACAGCAGTCGAGTGTCTAGCTGCTGTGCTGCAGCAGCTCCCTTGGTGCAAGGACTTTCTAGTTTATATTATCTCAGTGTTTGTTCTGTTCCAATGCGTTTTCCTCACCTCTTGTTTCAGTTGAGATTGTTTCTGTTCTAAAGCTGCATTTTAGTAATTAAATCACAATATTTAATTTTTCTATTTTGTGTGTTCTCCAACTTTCAAACGACCATATTCATTTGACTGAATGCTAAAGCTGTACAATTTTCTAAGTTTGTTACTTCTATCTCGTAACACCATGAGCACAGTACGAAAACCCTCAGGCCAGTTATCTTATTTACCTCTGAAATCTGGAGCACATGAAAAAGAATAAAGTCTCATTACACAGTTTTTTTTAGAGCAGCATTACAACATATCTTTGGCTCCATTAAAGTGCAAACAACGAGCAGCGCCACATTGAAATTCATAAACGGCCTAAACCACCACTGATCACTGGCATAAAAATAGACTGAAATGACTAGGGTATATAGAAAGAATTGCAGATGACAGAGAGGTAAATTGTTGTACACAAGGGAAGTAGACCACGAGGCAGACCAAGAGGAAGGGGGGTGGGGGTTGATATTATATGTGCAGACCTTCAAACTCTAGGAATCACCAACTGGAAAGAGAAGGCCAGTCACAGAAATGAAGGAAGGCGGGTGATATCTGCTGCAATGAACCTCAAGGGCTCAGATTGCTTAAGATGAAGTAATTTTGTATTAGCTTTAATGTGTTTTGAAATCAAATATGAGATAAAATATTTGTGTATCCATAGATCCCTGTGACTGTCCGACGCCGTGGGAGTCTACATGGGCAGTCAGAGTCTGCCTTTACACGCCAGGTAGTAAACTCTGGTGTCAGCAGTGCTGCTGCCCGGAAGAGACTCTCACCATCTAACTCAGTGAGTCACTTGTACTGTTTCTTGCTACTGTATTTAAGCAGTTTGTTACATGTTCGTTTGTCTAGCCCCAGATGGAGGATATGTTCCTTCTCCTGATCCACACTTGCTACTGTATAAGAGCAGTTTGTTACATGTTCGTTTGTCTAGCCCCAGATGGAGGATATGTTCCTTCTCCTGATCCACACTTGCTACTGTATAAGAGCAGTTTGTTACATGTTCGTTTGTCTAGCCCCAGATGGAGGATGAGTTCCTTCTCCTGATCCACACTTGCTACTGTATAAGAGCAGTTTGTTACATGTTCGTTTGTCTAGTCCCAGATGGAGGATGAGTTCCTTCTCCTGATCCACACATGCTACTGTATTTGAGCAGTTTGTTACATGTTCGTTTGTCTAGCCCCAGATAGAGGATGAGTTCCTTCTCCTGATCCACACATGCTACTGTATAAGAGCAGTTTGTTACATGTTCGTTTGTCTAGTCCCAGATGGAGGATGAGTTCCTTCTCCTGATCCACACATGCTACTGTATAAGAGCAGTTTGTTACATGTTCGTTTGTCTAGTCCCAGATGGAGGATGAGTTCCTTCTCCTGATCCACACATGCTACTGTATTTGAGCAGTTTGTTACATGTTCGTTTGTCTAGCCCCAGATAGAGGATGAGTTCCTTCTCCTGATCCACACTTGCTACTGTATAAGAGCAGTTTGTTACATGTTCGTTTGTCTAGTCCCAGATGGAGGATGAGTTCCTTCTCCTGATCCACACATGCTACTGTATTTGAGCAGTTTGTTACATGTTCGTTTGTCTAGCCCCAGATAGAGGATGAGTTCCTTCTCCTGATCCACACATGCTACTATATTTGAGCAGTTTGTTACATGTTCGTTTGTCTAGCCCCAGATAGAGGATGAGTTCCTTCTCCTGATCCACACTTGCTACTGTATTTGAGCAGTTTGTTACATGTTTGTTTGTCTAGCCCCAGATGGAGGATTTATTTCTTCTCCTGATCCACACTTGCCGTGGAGTGGGAGGTCTAAACTTTGTATTACAGTACCAGTTATGTTTTAACTGTTTTTTTTTTTAAGAGTGTATGAATAATTATTTAATACGGAGTTCAGCTTCCAGTGTGTGACCTTTTAAAAATATATTTTATTCATGCCCTTGAGGGTGTAAGTCTACTGTTTGCTGACTTCCTGTAAAAACACCCTTTACAACCCTTTCTTGAGGATATTGTCTTATTGCTGACAGCGAGGACCCATGGCTGTTGTGGTAAGTTTCGTGCCAGCTACATTCCCTTTCCAACACCTTGAGTGCCAATTCTGTGACCTGATGCCACCCAATGAGCTTATTGGTTGGAAACAGCAAGGTCATGTGAATTCAGCCCTTAATTAAGTCTTTCGGTACCATAGAACACAGTTAAATTAGTTGTATATATATGTGGGAATCATTCCAAAAGAGTGAATTTGGTGGTAAAGTCAGCTAAATAATCAGTACTCTACCAAAGATTACTCCTGAATGTGCTAATTTGTGATTTTAGAGAGATGCTTTCTGCATGTAGTAGAGACGTTCCAGGTTTGGCCAGTTGGCATTCCAATAGAAACCAAGGTCTATGGAATAATGGAAGACATGCATCACGCCACAGACTTCATAGAGGAATGTGGCCTTCTAATAAGAAAACCACTTTCAGGGGAACAAAAAGAAGAAAGGAAAAGTAGTTACTGTTGCTGCTGGAGGTGCTTAAGTATTACAGTAAATGGCATTGGTCATAATCAAATCAGTCAGGCCTGTTTTTGCCACATATAGGCAATGCTCTCCCCCCCCCCCCCCCCTTTACACGCCAGGCTGTGGTTGATTTTTCTGTTGTCAGTTTTTGTAGGTTGAGTGTACAATATAGATTAGGATATTTGAAAATATTGTTACACAAAGTGGCATAGTTATTAGCTTGTTGTCTACCAAGCAAGGTTCAAACCCCAGCATTTAGGAAGGCTAATCAGGAAAACAAATGTTTGAAGAAGTAGGATATGTTGGTTGAAAAGTGCAAATGTCGCAGCTGTGCTATAAATGGGTCCAATAGTTATGTCCTTGGATGAACGCAGAAGAAGAGAAATCTCCAGCAACGGCTGAGATTTTTTTCTAACCACTGCAGCTCTGTGGTCGACCTCGCCTCATAAAAGATGGGTACTAGATAATTGTTGGGAATTTTCTTGGCATTATATGAGAAGGAAAAATGACGTTGAAGGAAAATGGCTACCTCAACTTGCATATAATGATCTAAAACAGTGTTTCCCAAACTTTTCTTAGTCGCAGCGCCTTTTTTCAGTTTAAACTTTTTCATGGCACCCTAACCTAAGTAAAAGTATGACTATTTGTGTCTTGGTTTGGTTAAATTAATTATGATACTTTTACAATATTTCGTGGTGCCCCTGTGAAAAGGTCGCGCCTCCCCGGGGCGCTGTGGGGCACAGTTTTGGAACTACTAGTCTAGAACAAAATGTACTCAGGGGCCAACATGTTGAAAATAGGGGATCCTCTCGGGGCCAGAGGCCCAAGCCACAGCACAGAAAGATCAATAATACAGTACAACTGGCATCTGCAGGCCACTTGTTAGGCCTGCGCAGGCCACGTTTGGACCCGTCAGTTGAATAGCCTCGGTCTAGAATTTCTGAGGGCCTAACCCTCCGTAGCCCAATGTCTGTAAGTGTTGTTTGACTACATTTACCTTATGTCATAAGATAATAGGGCTGGAAAGAATAGCAGGAATGAGAATAAGAGTGAGGAGGTGACAGAGAAGATCAAAGCCATTGAGATTGTTCTAGATTTGACTCTTGGAAGTTGCAGTAGCTTGTTTAACTATGCCATGTATGCTTTACGGTAAAGAGACATTATACTCATGTCTTTTAAAAAGACACTAGTGAATGTAGGTGGTTTTCTAAGCCACATCATGCTAGTGTTGAGTAGATGCCTGTATTTCAGCTGTCTTTCACTGTATCCCTGGTGATTGATATTATGTTTCAGTTTCGACAAGCCATCTCCAATACAAGTGCCTACACCGGTCGGAGAAATGCTGCACAGCAAAGCGCACTCATGGATGTTTCGACCAACACAGATCTCACCAAAAAACGCATAGACAGAGTGCAAAGAGCAAGACTATACCTACTCCAGCAGACAGGGCCCAATTCATTCCTCATTGGCGGAGACTCACCAGATCACAAATACCGGGTCATTATTGGACCGCAGGTAATTCTTCTGAGCATCTTCTGTGTAGGTTGTAAATACTTTCACAGAAGAAGAATCTTTAGCTGGGGCTGGGTTATTTTGCAACTGCTGCAGCTCTAAAGTCGACCTGGTTTGTTTACCTTAGTTTCAACGCTTTTCCATCCAGACATGAGTTCTGGTTTGTTGGGGGGGGGGGGGGGGGGGCATAGATTCACATCGCTTTTTTTGTCTCAAAGAAACTTGTTGTGGAAGGTAACTTATTCAGGGTTTGTTGAAATTGGATGTGTTAGGCCGAAAAGAATAGAAATCGCAACATAACTTGAAGCACAACACAATGTGTAAACTGCTTTTTTAATCAACTACCAAGCCCGTCAACCCTTGCACTTTTACAGATACTGCCTATTTCTAGTGTATAGAAAAACGCCATAGCTACACAACTTTTTAATATAAATTTATAATATTTGCATTTTTACATCAAATTTATGAGGAACAAATTTTAAGAACAAAAATTACATAATCTTGTTTTACATCATCATCCTGTGGCTGTAGATTGGTGCAAAAACAGGCAACTGAAAAATCTTGTCTAACAGCATTTTAGATTGATTTATTATTATTACTATAGTTTTGTTGCTGTAATAATCCTGGGTTAAAGCATTGCTTAACTGGGAATTTAAATTCTGTAATTCCATTGGCTGTTTGCTATTTTGCACAGATAATTTTTAATGTATGTGACTTAATTGTCAGTATGACATGTATCTCATTCTTGGGGGTAAATCAACGGTCTTTAGTGATGAGTTCATAAGAGCGATTTGTTCGGCCTGTTGGTTTCCTCGCCTAAAAAAAAAATCTTTTTTAAAACTGCCCATCATGGGAATTGAACACTAGTAAACATCAAGGAATGCATTGTAAAAGGATTTCACTAAACTCTGAAGCCACTGAGCCATAATGTCCATAACATGCACTAACAATACACATCTGAAGCACATACACGAAACAGTCTACACAAAGTAATGTCAAATAAAATACTTACCTGCCACCGCTGATAAGCGAAACATCGTCCTTTTAGATTTGGTGATGTTTTTTATGGTATTTTGTAAAAATTGACAGAGTCACAGTCATCAGACTATTCAGATATATCATCACCATCACTTTCCAATTAAAAAAAAAACAACTAAGACAATCACCTATATCACTAGAAATATTCCCCAAAATTGTTGCCACCATGCCGACTCTGACAATTGGCTGCCATTATTAAAACATCTGCCTAACAAGTCACAGACATGGGAGCTCATTTAAAAAAGTTTTGGGGGGGGGGGTCACAAATTCGCTTTAGGCACTATGGAATTGTTTCCCTTAAAGGTGTAGAGAGAAATTAATGTACTTAAAGCTCAAAACTACATTGATAGTGAGCGTGTAACGTAAGCATCGCAGGGGGCGCGATTAAAGTAGCCAAGTGTAACCATCCGCCTTCGCATAACAAACCATCGTAGTAATCACTAGGAGAAAGATGAGCTCAGAAGAAGAATAAAGAACTCTTTTAAATGTATGTTTAGTCTCAGCAGTTTAATTCTCTGTCCATGTAAGCTGTGTAGACAAACTGTAGAACATGTCCTAGAAGGCTGTCCTTTGTACAGCTTGTTAAGAAGAGAATGCTATCTTAATGAGTCACCATCATACACAAAGCTTCCCTGTGTGGGTTCCGGGGCCCCATCGTAGGGAAAACAAGAATAGACCCACTGCCTACCCAAAAGCATCTCGTAAGAGTCGAGTAATTGGGAGGTTCCTTCAAAGTCGGAGTGCATCCGCCTGTGAGGCAAGAAACCAATAGTCTGCATACAAATTAGTCAGATCTGTTAAGCGGATGCACACACAACTCTTAGGTTCTGGAACAGGACTGCAGTCCAGAAGTGGACGAACAACCAAAACTTTCCGCCTGGGTTTACAGCCGGTTAATGCAAAGAAGAAGGAGAAGAGTACACAAAGCTGTATAAAACTAAGACAAACTGAAAAAAAACACCTGTCAACTTTATAATTAAGTATAACTCATCTTTTAGTTTTAAACAGCACAGATGTAGACACAAGACCTCTTAATGTCAGTATGTTGTTACTAGAAGTCATCTAGAAAAAGGCGTTCATATTTTATAGGCTTTTATTAAGCTTAGTATTATATTTGACTTTTTTGTCCTCATTGCAGTAAAAATGATGTTTTAAAAAAAACTGTTGAAAGCAAATTATTGACTGTCGTGTTTCTCTATGATTTCAGACATGTAGTTGTGGGCGCGGCCCCCACTGTGTGCATGTGTTGTTTGTGATGCTGCGGGTATTCCAAGTGGGGGAAAATGACCCCTGTCTCTGGAGCAAAACTTTGAAAAATTATGAAGTAAGTTTCTTATGTTTTTTTTTTAAAGAGATTGTATACCCAAATACTTAAAAGGCGAGGAAACAACAGTCTGCTTACAAATAAACCTGATCTGTTTAAGTTCTGGAACAAAACTAAAGTCTAGAAGTGGCTGAACAAGTAGAACTTTCTGCTGGAGTATACAAACTGGTAAATAGGAAGAAGAAGTAGACACTACAGTTGTAGAATCTGTCATGGGATTGACTACCTTTTACTTTTCTTCTCAGTGCTTTTCTTTTATTTCACCAAATCTCAGGGACTCTGAGATCTTGTAGTGAGTTCCAGGGGAAGTCCAGTATTATGGGGGGGGGGGGGGGGGGGGGGGGCACACAGGACACCACATCTAGGCATTGAGTTTCGAGGGTTAGGGTTAGTGTTAATTTCACACCTTAACACACCTATACTATTGGACTTTCAAGGGGACTCCCAGCAAAATTTCAGTGTCCTTGAGATGGAGGAGAAATAAAATAACTATCTTCTCTTGGGGGGGGGGGGGGGTATCATTTTCCCTCATTCAGGTAATGCCAGGCACTTTATAAATTTGTTCATAATTGGTCAGATATTGCACCTGTAATTTCCCTTGTGATTTATGTGACTACCATCTCAGCTCTCCTTAGTTATCCAATATTGAAAGGAAATAAATTGTGTCGTCTCCTCAATGGAGGTTGGCTGCAATGTATTAACCGCCAACTATGTGGTGAGGCCTCAGTCTGTGCCACGGTGTGCCACATGTACCACTATATGAGCGCTATGAGAACACTCTCTTTCTAAACCATCACCGCAGGAATCGAACCCTGGTAAACACACAGATTGCATTGTGAAACCCTTTCACTAACCTCTAGGCCACAGAATCGCATATAACCTTCCCATTTAGTTATGGTGTCATTACTGTTTTCTTTCCATATTCTGTTCCTGGGTAACACATGTAATCTTTGACATGTATGCATAATTTACTTTGCACTTTTAAGTATAACAGTATCTAATTTTTAAACAAAATTTGTCTCTCAGAAAAGACAATTGTGTTTTTCTCAGTTTTTGACAACGGCTTCGTTGTCTCTTTTCAGGTAGAGAACCTATTTCGCATCTACCATGACAAACGCAGTTCTCGTATTGCAAAACGTCGTTTATCCCAACGTAGAAAGGAGGAGTACATACAAGAGGAGGGTAGGGGTGAAGGGGATGGAGCGTCCCTGGCTGGTACTCTGGATAACAGTCGACTTCCTTCAGAAAGTGATGCTGGGTAAGTTTGCTGCTGGTTGCACTGGAAGTGTCTAGTGTTTTTAAGTCTGACACATTTACGAGGGTAGTATGCGTTTAAAAATTCCAAGAGTTGAATTTGCCTTGAAGTTTGTAACAGGCATTTACAGAATAAAGAGATAATCATATAATCCAGAGATTATGCGTTTGACAACATGACAGATGTTTTACACACACATACACGCACACACCCAGTACCATTAGTCCGCGATGTCACACAGATATACAGGTGACACCATTTGTCACAACTGTATGCCTCTCTCCCCCTCTTTGTGTCTCTCATATACAGATGGCACCATTAGAATATCGATGTCACACACACACAGATATAGAAATGGCACTAGCAGTTAGAAACGTCACATGAACACGCATATGTACGCGCATGCACACACACATAGGGGGGGGGGCTGGAGATAGCACCAGTTAGAAATGTGTGTGAGAGAGAGAATTGACATGTTAAAGATGTGACACACGAATCTGTGAACTTTATTTTTCATAATAGAGTTTATGACTATTTTTTGGGACAGCACTATGCTTTCAGTGCCAGACGTGGACACTTACGTCCTCCAGTGAACGTAAAATTGTGACAACAGAGATGAAATGCCTTAACAAGAGCTGCAGCAGTTTCAAGGAAAGAGAATATGAAATCATGAAATCAGATGAAAGCTAAGAGTAAAGTCAATCATACAGGTCATCAAAGAACAACAAATGAAGTGGTTTGGACACCTAACAAGAATGCCCTGGTACTGTCTACCACAGCGAGCCACACTGAAATGTTACAATGAGTGGAAGACTTTGAAAAATATGGAGTGATGGCATTAAGAACAGCCTTACAGAAATGAACATCAGTCTTAATAGTGCTCTTGACAGAGCTCATCAATGCACGTTACATCTCTCCCCGACACTTTGCTGAGGTACAAGATGAAAGAGAAGAAGAAGAAGGTTATAAATTTGGCGTACATATGACATTAGTCCCTTTAACGCCCCAGACTGATAAATACACGAAGATGAAACTGTTCATTCTTGTGAAATTCTCTTTTCCATTAGGAGTGTGCGAGAAGAGGAGGACATCTGCCCAATTTGTTTGCTGGAGATGTTGGAAGGGGAAAGTCTGATCAAATGTGAACATGGGTGTCACAACCGACTTCACCATCATTGCATAGCTATTTGTGAGTATATCTAATTTTTTTGAGTATATCATCTGGTATTTAGAGTATATCTGGTATTTTTGAGTATATCTGGTATTTTGTGAGTATATCTGGCGCTGGTTTTATTGTTGTGCGATGTGGAATATGGTTTTTATAAGAGAATGTCTTGCTGGGGCGTTTGTAAGAAATGGTAACATTGGGACAAGTCATAAACAACATTTAGCTGTTGATGCTGCCACGCTAATGGCACCCCTACACTGATAACTGTTGGTGCTCCCATATTGGTTACTGTTGGTGTTGCCACATGGTTACTTTTTGTGCTTCCTCACTGGTTGCTTTTGGCATGCTGTCCCACTGACGGCTGTTGGTACTACCTCACTGGCTAATGTTGTTGCTACCATACTGTATACTGTTGGTACTCCCATCATTGGTTGCTGTTGGTGCTCCATCATTGGTTGCTGTCCGTGCTCCATCATTGGTTGCTGTCGGTGCTCCATTGTTGGTTGCTGTCGGTGCTCCATCATTGGTTGGTCTGTCAGTGCTTCCTGACTGGCTAATGTTGGTGCTGCCACGCTGATTGCTGGTGATGTTCCCGCACTGGCTACTTCTCTCTTGCCTTCTTGCTTATTCTGATTCCTCTCTCCTGTCTCTTTCCCTCTTCCTCTCTTATGCTTACCTCACACTGTCTCTCCTTGCTCTTTTAACTGTTTCTCACCCACTCTCTCCTTGCTCTCCTTCTGTCTTAGCATTCTCTTCTCCCTCTCACTCTCTTCTCCCTCTCACTCTTTTTCTCCTCTCTCTCTCTTTCTTCTTTCATTCCCTCTTCCTCTCTCCATCCCACATGCTTCCTCTTCTTTTCCCTCTCTGCTGTCTGTCCTATTTTCCACTTCCTCTAACTTTCTCGACTCTTTTAGCTTCTTTCTTTCACTGTCTCACGCTATTTTTTTTATCTCTCTACTCTTTCTCACTTTCTTTACTTCTCTCTCACTTTCTTTACTTCTCTCTGGCTTTCTGATTCCCATCCTGACAGTCACATCAGTTCTTCTTCTTCCTCATAATCTGTCATCCATCTCTATACTCCCTCCCTCTCTGTATATTAAACATGTGGTATCCCAAATGACTTGTAATTCACACATGATGTTCTCAGGGTTTGAAGAGTGCAGAAGACAGAACGACCCCCTCAACTGCCCCCTGTGTCGATCCCAGTGGAAGTCTACAACAGTAGAAATTAAAAGGTAATGACACACTTTCCTCTTATTTTACACTTGTGGGTTGTTTGAAGGCCCCATTGGGGGAAAGAGAGGTGGGGGCAGAATAGACCTACTGCAACCCCTCCCCCACAGTCATGTCGTAAATGTTAACTGATTAGGTGTGTTTCCTCCAAAGTCAGAGTACCTCTTCCTGAGAGTTGTGGAATCAACAGTCTGCATACAAATAATCCAGAACTGTAAAACTCGGGCTGTAAAATGGATGGGCAGAACTCAGGCTGTAAAATGGATGGGCAGAACTCAGGCTGTAAAATGGATGGGTAGAACTCAGGCTGTAAAATGGATGTGCAGAACTCAAGTTGTGGGAACAAGACTGAAGTCCTGAAGTGGACAAACAATCATAACTTTCCGCTGGAATTTACAGCTAATGAGCACAAAGAAGAAGAAGAAGACTTGCCAGTTCTTTCATGAGGCTACAGGCATAATACATAAGCTAACATGTCTAATGTCATGTTGTACATTTAGTGTCATAGTTTTTTTTTTTTTCAAGTATGGTGAAATAGCACATTTTAACCGAAGCCCTTATAGGAAGCGCACACTTGTAAGATTGTCCCTGTCTGGTTAAGGACCCCTTTTTGAAAGGGGTGGTGGTGGGTTGGGGAATTCACATAATTACTGTTTCCCTGAAAATAAGATTACCTTCCACAATAGGCTCTAGCACAATTCATAGGATGCGTTCAATATAAGGCCTACCCAAAAAATAAGCCTTTGTTAAGATTGTCAGCTAGAATGAGTTATTGGGGCTAGTAGTTCTACAGGAAATGAAGTTGCAAGAAAATCAAGTCGGAATTCAAGATTTTTAGAGTTATGATGATGTTGCAGAAGATGACATGACTATTCAAGAAAATATCTGGAAAAAAAGACATCCCCTGAAAATAAGCTTTAATGCTGCTCTTCTCCTCCTCCTCTTTTTCCTCCTCTTCCTCCTCCTCCTTCTTCGATTCTTCTGTTAGAAAACTTTTATCTGGAGGCCGGTAGCCTTCGTGAAAGCTATTGTGCAGTTTATATCTTCTCGTGTTCCATAGGGTTTTGTTTTCATAACTAAGCAAACAATTTATATAAGACCCAGTTTATTTTAAGAAACACATGGTAGTTAGGCATGAAGAGAAATTGTATAATTTTGTTGTTGCTGATTGGGATTTTCAGTAACATGTTTTTTGTGTGTGTGCCTTCCTTTGATCTCCGAATGGAGCCAGACCTTTAACCAGCTCACGTCATACCTTTTGTTGGTTGGATTTTTGGCAGTTAAAGTATTTAATGGGATGAGGCTGCCATTTTCATATCAAGCTTACTCAGTCGCTTCTTACATCATCATCATCACACATAATCTATTGAGCCAGCAGAGGACACATAGGGCTGGCAGCCTTGTCCTTCATGATGATCTGTTCTGTGCGATCCTTTATATATGATTGATGGAGCCCAATTCACTGTTATTTTAAGGGTTTATCTTGAATGACCTCATTTCTTTATTCGGTTTGTTTCCTTTTTCATTAGTTGTTTGATGATTCTCTGCGTGCCGACTGCTTCTCAGGATTTGCCCAATGTAGCTAGATCTTCTTTGTCTGTTGATACCATTGGTTGTCCAGACATTTCTCTTACATTTTTCCCTTTTCTTCACTTCACTCCAATTCTTACCCTGCATGGTAGTTTATGGTATTACTGTTGGTATTACTGTTTTTTTGTAGTTCTTATGAGCCCTGAAAATACACTATTGAACTGAATAGTCTAAGTTATGAAAACACCAGTTCTAAGGTTTTAGGTTAAAGTCTCAATCTAGGTGGTTCTTTCCTTCAAAATTGACCTTGGCTTCAAGTCAACACAGCTTAAAATGCTGGCAGGATGTTTATATCACCCACTTAGTGCCGATAGGTTTATAAAAATATGAGCCTGGCATCTTTTAAATGCCTCACTGGGGTAACAGTTGTCAGTCTGTTTATTTACTGAAACTTAAAACAGCATCCAGCTGGTGCTCTGTGGCATTTTGAATACCCTTACTGTCTGTCCCCTCTTCCTCCGCTCCTTCACATTACTTCTAAACATCATTATCTTGTAAGACTTAGGGAAAATAGGCTTCAGTGGTTAACAATATTATATTTTTTCTATTTTCTTGCTCGTAGTACCCAAAATGGAAGCACCACAGAAGGGCCTGATGTTCCTCCAAACACACGAGCCTCATCTCCTCATCAGTCCACATCAGGAGAGGACAGCTCCAGGTTGCCTCATGCAGAACCAATTTCTCCAGATCTTGAGGACATAGCTGCACCATGGATTGAGGTATGTTGAACACTTCACATGATACGGTCTCTTAAGATTTTGAGATAGTGAGCAGAATAATCCAGATGTTTTGAAAATAGTTAGGACCCGAAGACAACTTATCACAAATGTCAGAAGGAGACAGTCATAATTTTGGGTCACATTATGAGAAGAGGGAAACTGGACCATTTTGTGACCACTGGAAAGATTTGTGTAAAGAAGAAATGAGAGAAAGACAGTGCAAATAGATTCTTAACAATCTTTTGTTGTGGCATGGAGGAGTGTCACCACAAGAACTGATAGTTTTTGGAGATAGCCGATTGTAGAAAGGCATGATCACATATGTACCAATTAGAAATTAAGGGACCATTTTCATCAGCTGTGAATCATCATCATCATGTAGCAGGTCCTTTGCAGAACGTTGCTCTCACGGTCTGCCTGAAGGAAACCCCATCTCTTGTCAGCTCTCCCGCCTCATGCATTTTCATACTTAAGGAGTCACTTATATCCTGTGCCCATCTTCGTCTTGGACGGCCCATGCCCCTCCTTCTGTTATAATTTGTTCAAATCCTTCATGGCGCTTGATATGACTAAAATATTTCAGCTTCTGATACAGGATGCTGTTTATTTGCCAATCTTTCTTGATGTTCAGATCTTTAAAGATGTCAATATTTCTCCTCTTTTTCGTCCAAGATATTCTGAGAATCTTTCTATAACATTTCAGCTCAAAAGCCCCTATTCTTTTTCTTAAGGACTTAGCTATGAATACCATGACAAAATCAGCCTCCCCACACAAAAGCAACAGACTATAATTTTTAGATTACAAACTGGACACAACAGACTCCGCAGCCATAAGTGCAGGAAATTCATGATTGGGGACTCATAACTTTTCCCAGCTGGACAGGCACCAAACAGTATTTAACATGTGCTTCAGATGTAATCTCTGCATGCAGTAAAGAGATCCCAGGTTTGACCAGTTGGCGTTACAGTGGAAACCAGGCTGTATGGATCGGTACAGGTCTTATGTTGCACCACAACCTGCACGGAGGCCTGTGGCCTTCTTATCTAAAAGCTACTGGCAGTGAGAGTAGAAAAAAAAAAGAAGAAGGCTTCATAGCCAGCATCAATGAGGATTGTTTAAAGAAAGTCAGGTGAACACTGGCGATAGCACTGCAGAGGCTAAATAGCCTGTCAACTCTTTGTGTACCAAGATACACAGTGTATACTGATTTATAATTATTTTAACTCTCCTGTGGTACTAAGAAAGTTCGGAATCAATGGTACAGCAGTAAATAGACTAAATGAAGAAGTTGGGTAGCATGTATTTCTCCCTATGGCGACATAAAAATGTGAGTCTTAACCGTTTTGTAGTTACCAAAGAAGGAACTAGAGAAGCTGCAGTGGCTAGATGCTTGTACTCGGCCTGTAGGTCTTGAATTCAAATTTCCATCTTGGTGGATTTTTCCAAAAGTGACCTTGGCTTCCAGGTAGCCTGAGCCTAAAAAAAGCACCAGGTACTAGGAAGTAAAGGCAACTGACATGGGTTGACCACATTAGCCATCGATTGTTGAATGATCTATAGAAATGTGGGTCTAGCATCATATGCCTGATATCCCCACTGGTGTAAAAAAGGGTCCTTTACTGTTTTATTCCTAAAGAAGAACATTTGAGGCTTTTAGACTTAAAATGTCGCAGAGACTTTATTAGAATACGGTGAACGAAGAAGGCAAAATATATACAGATATTGTACAGGATCTGAGCATCGAATAAAACTTTCTCATTGAACACCATTGTTCCTCTGTGGGTTCCGGGTCCCATTATAGGGGAAACAAACAACAGACTCAATGTCCCTCTAACAAGCGTGTCATAGTGTCATCCAAGACAAAGGGGAATGTATGACAGACTTTAAAGACACCTTTTTTTTAGGAAAATACCTGTACTTGGAGACTTTTAGAGGACTAATAATTTTTGGGAAGAAAAAAAAAGGGGGTTAGGAAGGGGGTTGTAAAAAGAGCAATATTTAGCTACATGATGGTGATGATGATGACTACTCAAAAAAAAAAATGTTGTACAATTTACTGAAATAGCCCTCTAATAAATTTTGTCAAGAGGTGAAAAAACTTTTCTCATGATCTTGTAAAATATAATATACTTGTATAATATATAAAAATTGTAAGGAAGTCTTTTTTTTTTCCTCCCCAGGCATTAGGTTCAGACTTAGTCTCATGCCTTCTGTCTCGAAACTGGTCTATCCGGGAAGTTGGACTGAAACACTTGAGTAAGGAAGTGATGGCGGCCCTTCTGAAAGGTGCTGGGGAAGGAAGGTCAGGGGTCATTGTGTCCCCAGTCAGACGTGCAGCCACGCACAACATGTTGCAGACAGCCTGTAACATCCTGGCATACATGTGTGCTGATCCTGTGTACAGAGTCTTCGTTGCTTCCTTGGTAAGTGGTTTCATTGTAGGTTTTCACATTTGTGTGGTTTTACTTTCTTCTTTTTTCTCTTCCTCCTCCTCCTCCGCCTCCTCCTCCTTTTCTTCTGAGTTTGCCCTTAAGGCTGTGTGTGCATCACAAATATAATGTGTCAGATCAACATTTTTTTCTGGAAAAGGTCATTTTTATACACTTTTGTATGTCATCTGTCAGATACGATGCTTTTTATTATTTAAAAGTTATTTTAATGCAATATGAACATTTTGCTGAACTAACCTAAGGTGTCTGATTTTTTTTTTATTATTGAAAAAAATGTTACAGAATTGATGCTTTTCTCACCATAGCAGTGGTATTTGTGTAAGGCGGTAAATGTCTGTATTGTATACCATTGCATCATTTGGGAAGTTTCAGGATCATGGACTGTCAAATTTTCAATTCCCAGCTCTTTCATTTTAGGGTGTTTCATATAAGGGTGTAAACATGACCTTATTCATCATCAGCTGTGTGCTATTCAATTCTTAACCCTTTGAAAATAAAATGTGTTTGTTTGTTCATTCCTGTTGACTGAAACTGATCGCATGGTATCCAATTCTCCAAGATGGTCAGTTTTATAAATTCTTGTCATGGGTCACACGAGACACTGCATTTGGAAAAATGCCTTGTTCCAAGATATTTAGGCGCCTCCCCCCCCCCCCCCCACCTTTCCCCAGGGAGCTGCTTAGCATAAGAAAATTTCAAGTCTTCAACTGGCAAATGCTCATAAGCAAAGAAAAGTCTACCAGAACGTTGTAAACATAACAGGAAATTTGGAATGCGACATAGCTAAACAGCATAAGAGATTTAGACAGTGAATGATTCTGTAGCGGTGATTCTGTAGCATTGTATTCTTCTCAAAGTTGTGATAGTGACTGTTTTTGTGCACAAAAAACTCAGAAGCTGCAAAGCCTTAATACAGAACATTTCACAACAGAGTGAATAAATTATATTCACAGTTAGAAGATCTGAAGGACACGGTTTTCTCTCAAACTAGAGAAATATCTTTTGCCAGTTTATGACAGGCTGTATAACACTAAACTACTTAGTAGATGTATGTCATGCAAAGCTCAGAATTCAAATGAATGTTTACACAGCCTGATCCGGGCTCGCTGTGTTACAGACAACTTTGCCTTGGTTCCCAGGTCAAGTCAGTTAAAAAATGGGCACTAGGTAATGTTCTGGGAAGTAAAAGGGGTTGGTGTGATGTTGACCACATTATCCATTGATTGCTGATTGGTCAATAAAAATATAGGTCTAACATTAAATGTCTTAAGTGCCAAGGACAAGAAAAGGGTCCTTTACTTACTTACTTTACTTACTTAATTGCTTTATTTTACTTACCTAATTTGCTTACTTTACTTACTTACTTTACTTACTTACTTTACTTACTTAATTTGCTTACTTACCTCCTTACCTGCTTACTGACTGACTTACTTACTTTACTTACTTATTTTACTTACTTTACCGACTTACTTGCTTTACTTTACTTACTTGCTTTACTTTACTTACTTAATTTGCTTACTTACTTTACTTACTTACTTACTTTACTTTACTTACTTACTTTACTTACTTACTTTACTTACTTACTTTACTTACTTACTTTACTTACTTACTTTACCGACTTACTTGCTTTACTTTACTTATTTAATTTGCTTACTTACTTTACTTACTTACTTACTTTACTTACTTACTCGCTGTATGTATTGTAACTCCCACAGAGATCCCTGCGCACAATGCTAGCGTACACACCCTGCCGGGATGCTGAACAAAGAAACAGACTGCAAGACATCCTAAAGCCAGTGGTTGAAGCCATCATTCTCAAGTGCACTGATGGAAACAGGTTAGCAACTTGTGGAAGTTTCTCAGTAATAGCTAGTTATGGTATAAAACAGTTACTTATGGTATAATACAGTTGTTGTGTGTGTGTCTTTAATTATGGGTCAGAATAAAATCAGTTAGTTTTTGTGGGTCTTCGGTCAACATTGACTGCTGCATTTATGATGAAGAAAATACTTTTTATGGAGCAGCTGATGAAGATACACAAAATATGGAATAACAGCATCAAGACTAATTTTTTACAACCAAATAGAGGGTATCAGAGAATCCTTCCCCCCACATACTTGCATGAGGTGATGCAAGAAGAAGCTCATGAATGTTTTACGTGTATCACTATATGGTACTGAGCCAAAGCTCAGGCGCTGTAAAGAAGATTGATAAAATTGCCAAATTGTAAGACCTGATGGAGGTGTGACATGGTTTTTTTGTTGGAATGTTCAAGAGGAATTTTCTTTCTTCACAGACGGACTAGTCAGTTGTCCCTGTCTACCCTTGTAGAGCTGGTCAAAGGTCAGGAAGGGGAACTAGCAGTTGGTAGAGAGATTATCAGCCCAGGTAAGTGAACTGCTCTGGTTATCTGTTAATATAATTTTGTTTCTTTAGCTTAGATCTGTTTGATGTGTGCGGGTGGGGCCCATTTTGGAAGCAAAGATCAGTGAAACTATAACCTCTTGTACATGTCATCAGAAGATTAAGGAGGGATAGGGTGAGAATATCATTGACAGAGAAAAACAAACAAATGAACTTTATTTTCAAAGGATCACAAATTGGGCACCCAGGCCAATCTTACCTTCGGCCCTTTCAAACACCTATCTCTCACACAGCAGTTGTATTTTTATCAATGAAGAATGTAAGGTTCATATAATAATTTGCATACTATGAATATCAAGAAAAAACACAAAAGTGGGTAGTAAAATGCAAGCGCACACTCATGGGCCTACACAGCATACACCCACATACACACGCCCAACCTACTCACTCACTAACTTACAAACTCACAGCAAAGTAATGAGAGAAACTGACAGCTGCAGTGGTTACCTAATCACTCATCAAACCCTGCAGCTGCTGCTGCCACTCTGGGCGGTGAACTAGTTTATAATCATTTTCTCTTTCATTTGCTTGAAATACATTTTCTGTGTCTGCAGTGCTGTCTCTAATGTGTACTGCATTGTCTTTTGTAATTCACTTAAGGGCCTGTAAATTGTGACTTCACCGGTGTGTGTCTCTTAGCCAGAAGTTTTGCCTGGAAATATTGTATTTGGGACAGCCTAGAAGGACGTGATCTTCTTTTTGTTGTGATCACTTTCTGATTAACACCGACAGACAAGTTCCTGTAAGAAACTTAACTATTTTTAGAAGTTCCCTTTTAGTTCCCTCCGACTTTCAGTAGGTGTTGACTCAGTGGGCCAGTATTCCCTTCTTGAAGGGCTGAGATTGGCAGAGACCGATGGAAATGTATAAGGTAACACATGAAATCCTTTGCAATACTGTCGAGGCTTTGTAATATGGAGAGGAGAAACTTCATTGCCATTCCTACCTATAGTAGAAAACAATACTGTCACATGACAAGAAAGAAAGGTGCTAGCAGTATATCATGTGAGCTATTCTGTTTTCGACTTTAGTAGGTGATTTACTAATTTGTTTGAACTAACTTGCTCTCTTAAATTTGATTTTTTATATCATTGGTTTGATTGTTTTCAGCTGTAGACAATGATGATATGTAATTTGTTTTGTTCTGTAGGCAGTGAAGGCATTGACGGTCTTAACTATGTGTTAAAGTGCATAACAGAAGATTATGACATTGAATCAGTTCAGTGGCAGTGGCTGCTGGGCAGGTTGTATGTCATTGACCGGCTGCTTGAAGAATTCCCTGCTGACTTTCTACCTCGACCAGAAGATAGCTTAGATGCTGCTGGGGCTGCTGATGCTGGTGAGTCCTTCTGTCCTCTCTCTTTGTGTCTCTTCTCTCTGCTCCTGCTTCTTGTCAGTTTCTTTCATGTCTGAAGATGACATCAGGCTAGGAGCAAACATTTCTGAGCTCTGGTGATAGTTAGCTTCCTTTGGATATTGTCTTCAGGTGTGTTGGGAAATGATCAGGCAGACAGAATGGCTGGTGCTGCACCACCGGATGGTGACTTGATGCATGAAAAGCTTGATGTGGTCAAGGCTTTTGGAGGGGCAAGTGAACAATGTTGAAGCACAAATAGATCAGTGCAGCTAGAGAGAATGGTGCAGCTGGGAGGAGTCAGGGATCTGGGCAACACCCTTCACTTAGAGCAGTGATTCTCAAACTGTGTGCTAAATATTTGAAGATACACAACTTTTATTTTACTTTTATCTCTTACATAGAATAGTCATACTTTTACTTAGGTTAGGGCGCCGTTGAAAAAATGTAATTGAAAAAGAAAGAAAAAAGTACTGCGACTAAAAAAAGTTTGAAAAACACTGACAGTCATATCAGACTGTTACTGATACCATTGGAATTGGAACTGTTTGCTGGCTGCTGAAGATAAGGATATTGCACATATTGGAATGTCCCGAGTGCTGAGATGTCATTTCTGGACTCGGTCAGTTCTTCCATTTTTTTATTTTGTTGGCAGTTTACTAAAGATATTTGATTGTAAAATGGTCGCTATGTTTTTCAAGTTTGCTTTCTTAAAGTCCCAAATTGCTTTTTTTTCTTCAACCCATTTTGTTATTTATAAGTGTTTATTTTCAAAATATCTGTACCTTAAAATTATGTTTACTTCCAGACATTCAAAATTGTTTGTTCTATCTTTGCATGCTGTATTTTATATACTTGGTTGCTTTCAGGATTCTAAATTTATCTTCCACACTCTTACATATTATATATCATTGTTGACTTTCAGATGATGAAATGGAACGCAGTGGAGCGGCAGGCCCCAGGGTGGCAGGAAGACAGGCAGAATCTGGTGAAGAAGATGCTTCGAATTATGACAGATTGATGTCGGTAGCACAGTTTTCAGTGAAAGCAGTCTGCAGCACACACATGAGGATTGCCAGGATGTCTCGAAGGGTATTTCTTTTGTCAGCCAAACTGGGTGCACATGTGCAAACAGTCATATCACAGTTAAAAGACCTTCTGGCCCAGATTGATTCTACCTCAGTTGCATCTCTTCGGCGGAAGTTAGACCGCATTGTGGAAGATTTCCAGCTTTCAGAACGCATTGTCCACGAGCTCATGCATGGGTCTGGCAGGAGAGGTAAATTTGATTCTCCTTACCACACTCCCATGGATTCACCTTCGTCAACGCCCAGGTGCAACTCTCCTGTTTTAGCTGACTCTCGCAGCGAAGGTGGCACATGCTCAACCCCAGAGAAACCTACGCCAGCAGCACCCCCGAAACACTCCTCTCCATGCTAAGAGAAGGTTGAGAAGAGTTATCCCACGGAGAAGTTACCGGGAAACCAACCATCCATCTGCTCCACCTCCCTCATCAGAACCCTCTCCAGAAAAAGCATATCATGATCACTTCAAAGAAGGCGAAGCAAACCACTGTTCAGGGGGAGAGGCCTCCAGTGTCGTTTGTCCACGCTTGGGAAGCTCCAGTCCGTCAACCCCGCGAAAATCAACCTACCTCTACGAAGAAAAACTATTGAGGGAGATTCTGTTTTTACAAGAGGAGGTTCCTCTAGTCCAACAATCCGGAGGAGAACCCATGATGGTTGTGTTATTTCCAATGGGATGTCTCAGTCAACGCCACCACCAACATCAAGAACCACCATCACCACACACACCCCAGCCACATCGACCCCGGTGCAGAATTTAGCACCCATTTTGCCTATCATATCAGTAACAGACACTTCCAGTCTTGGAGCTGGGACATCTCAGACTGTTGCCTTTGCAGGTTTTCATGACAACTTTAGAGAAGCAGCCGAAGAAGCAGAGGACAATCCTGACCTCTACAACACCCTAAAGGCAGCAGCTTCGTCACAGCATGTTGGTCATATTAGTTTCTGCGTGAATGAAGAGCTGCAGGTGCAGCAGTCACTGAAAGCCAGTAAGTCTGTGACACCATCGTCGTCATCTTGTTGTCAGTGTCATTGTCATGATTCTGGTGACACAGAAGGAACAGTATCCTCACCTGAGTCAGGTGTCGCAGGTGTCCCCAACACACCTGATAGTGCAGGTAATGCTCATTATCACACAGCTGAGCATGAGTCCATGAGCAGTGACGATTTTCTGGACTTCTCACAAGAGGCTGCACCACCAGCCAACGAAAAGCCAGTGTCTTTCAAGTCGGAGGTTGCAGAATCTCCAAAATCATCTCCTAGTCATTCAGTGCACAGTGGTAAGTTCTATAACCTTATCTCCGCATTCGAGCACAACAGCAAGTCTTGCAGTCTTAATCCTTAATCAGTACACAGTAATGAGTTGTTAAACATTATCTAGATATTTATCGTTTGAGTCCCTGGAAATTTGGGTATACAGAAGAATAGGTAGTATTCATGGAAACACAGTCCAGTACAGAGGTTCTGGAACGACTACAAATGAAAAGGGAATTACTGAAAGTAATTTTAAAAAAGTCAGTTGAAATACTTAGGCCACATTAAAAGACATAAATAACACGCTTTAAAAACTATACTTAGGGGAAGGCAGAAAACAAGAGAGCAAGAGGTGGGTATTGATACAAGTGGGAGGACAACATCAAGAGAAGGATGGGCAGAGATATTCATCGTACATTGATGAGGCATGAAATCCTAATATCTATACAATGCACTGGTAGCTTTCGACTTGGTACAAGCTGCTCAGGTAAAATACTTACCCTCACAGCAAACCGTTATTTTCAGCTTTTTTGTCTTTAAGAAGGCCTCTGATAGCCTACACAGAACATCACTGAAGGCAGTCTTGAAATTTTATGATATACCAGTAAACTTTTTAATGTTATCAATCACTTTATGAAGGCTCAGAATGTGCAATGCACACATATCTTTATATATTTAAAAAATGTCCATAAATACATTCAAGAAATATTTAATAGTGACCCATATTTAATGGTTTTTTTAAAAAAAAAAAAGGATATTTTTTGGACATTCTGCATGAGGGCTTGGCTCATTTATTTAGGGTTGCCAGGGCAACAGGGTGAATGTCTAGTGCAGTGGTTCTCAGCCTTCCCTTTAATACAGTTCCCCATGTTGTGGTGACTCCCAACCAACAATTATTTTCTTTGCTACTTCACAACTTCAGTGAATGTGTGTTTTCCGATGGTCTCCTGCGACCCCTGTGAAATGGTCGTTCGACCCACAGGTTGAGAACCGCTGGTCTAATGGATCATTAAACAGAAGTGGTTGCATAATGTCTGTCATTCATTACACAGTCATGACACAATGAAAGTCTTCTTCTTCGATCCTTCTGTCAGAAAACTTATATCAGAGAGGCCGGTAGCCTTTATGAAAGCTATCGTGCAACTTCACCAACAGTTCATTGTGGTTGGAACAGGCCAGATGCGTCTCTGTGTTACAGTTGACCACATGATGGGTGCTCCGCTGCAGGGACACGTCTCCGTACCCCACCGAAAAATTTGAACATATGAAAAATCTGTTGTGCCCTGTTTAGTCTGACCCACTCTAGGTTAAAGAGTCTTGGGGAAAAATCTGGTGTGGGTATCCAACCTTTCTTGGATACATTATTAGTGTTTTTATCAAGAAGTGGTTGCCATGTCACTGCCGCTGGCCAATCTGTCCGCTATTCATTACATACAGTGACATGGAATCCACTGCAGTACAGATTGTTCTACTGAAAGCCTAAGTAAATCAGCTGTTGCGTCAAGTCTACAAACTGAGTGTCAAGGGTTAACAATTGCTTGTAGAACTGACATAGCATCAGTCAGAAAGACCACTCTGCTATATTTGCTGTGCTGTTGTCCATTCAGGAAAGAACATGCCGCTAGAAGTGCTTCTGCCTCTGCTCTGTAATTGGAGGAATATGAACCTGTTGGTACAGCCTGGTTGATTTTTTAAACCATTTGGGCATTCTATGTATATTCCTCCTCCTCCGTCTCTTACTGCTCTCTTGGCTGAACCATCTGTATAACACTCGAATCCAACTCTGGTGTGGGTAAAGTCTATTGATCTCTCCTTCTGTAGTTGATTTCATATCAGTGCTGCTCATTGATGATTTGGAGGAGACCCCTGTTACAGTGGTTCTGACTGTTGGTAGGCTATCCCTAAGCCAAGCGGGGCAGTCGTTGTAAGTTTTAAGTGGAACATTTGGTAATATGGGAGGAGTTTAAGGACAGCGAGCTTGGCATTTGCGTTCTCAATAAAGCAAGTTCTCTTTAGTCTAGCCTTCTGGGGTTTCTGCAGTCGGCTGTACATGGGTTGTTCTTGAAAGTGGGTGGTATTTGGAGAGCTGGGTGAGGATCTTTGTGTCTCTCCTATCTTCCAGATTATGGAGACCAGTAATTGTTGATATCTGATATGGGCGTGGAGCGCATTGTAATACGGAGAGCATGGTTTTGGATCTTTGAGACTTTCTGAAAATTTGATTTAGCTGCTGTGCCCCAAGCAGCTATTCCATATTCTAGTGTTGGCCTCACATAGCCTGTATAGGTCCTCTTAAGGACATTGAGGTTGAGTCTTTCCAGCTAACTTCCTCATCAGCTGTGTTCTCTTGAGTCCCTTGCTCTGGAAGAGTTAACATTTATGATACTCATTGAGTACCGACTGGTCTCTAACATGGGACTGGCACCACACTTGATGTACATCAAGGGGTGAAACAGGAATCCTGTACTGTTTTCTACTTTCTCTCTATAAAATCAAGAGTTAATTGGATTATAATAATTATTATTATTAATATTATTTATTAAATACTACTCAGCAACAGCATACACACACACACACGCAAACTCGCGCACACACACACACAGACTGGAAAGCTCACATATTGTTGTCATAGTGTTAATTTTCAAATGTCTTTGTAATTTTATGAGTGAAATTGTTCAGATTGCACAAAGAATAGTGTAGGGTTCAGCCAGTCAGTTGACAGTTCTTTTGCATCTGGGTCATTGATAGTTTTTAGGCGTTCAGGCTTTCCAGTCAACTACAAACATTCATTAACTGGTAAATGAGCAGAATAGAGGGTATTTAATGGTATGATAGAATCACTCATGTTAAGTTTTGTAAGAGAACTAAGCATGTTTCAGTGGACCAAGAGGTTAAGAAAAGACGCTGCATTGGAAAAGACGTTGAAAAAACCTGAGAACAGTATAACTAGAATGTCTTTGCACTAGAACCCACATGGGCATAGAAATAAAGGAAGACCAAAGAAGCACATGGAGAAGGGGGCTAGAGAGTGAAGTTGAAAAGATGGGGAGGACATAGAGAGAGCTGCCTGCAGTAGCAAAAGATAGAATGACTTGGCCTGAGTTGGTTGAGGGCCCATGCTGCATTGGGGAAAAGAAGGAAGAAGATGAACATGCCATAAGATAACTGCATGTTTTTTTAACAGTAAATTATTAGTCAGCCACCGAGTAGTAAGTTTAGGATGATCACACGTTCCTTTGACAAGTCTGTTGATCCCAGGTGCCAGTTTTAAAAGTGAGGACTGTGGTACCTGCAAGGAGGAGGTAGAGAGAGAGGAGGCTGAGGCTTTGGCTAAAGCTCTGGAAGTGTCTGATAGGCAAGACCCAACACCTGTGGTCCCAGGCCTGACCCCTTCTACCAGGGAAGAAATTATAACCATACGAATACAGCCTGATGATGTAAGTATTGTCTTTCGATGGCTAATTATTTACCAGATTGAAAATAAAAAAGTGCGTTGACAGATTTAACATTTTTCAGCAAGATGATTGTTATTATTTTGATCTTGGACCATCAATGTCAAAGTTTCCATTGTCAGCAATTTACTGTGAACTGTTAAATGTCTAAGAGCCATATTTGGGGCCATTATATGAAACCAGATAATATAGCACAGTGGCTAGCATGCTGCCTTCCATTCTAATGGTTGTAGGTTTGAATCTCCAGTCAAGCTGATTTGTAAGGAATGATCTGTGCTACCAGGTCGACCCAGCCTAAAATGGGTACAAGGAAATGTCCTGGCAAGTAAACGTGGCCAGTTAGATACTGACCACATTATCTGTCGAATGCTGATTGGTTAATAAACAAAAATGGTGCTAATATGATGCCAGATACGCTGCAAGCCAAACAGAACCTTTTTTTTTTCAGTTTTGAAACTAGGTAATCATTTCTACATTTTGGCTCCCAGTTCAACTTAGCTTTAAATAAGTATCAAATAAAATTATGGGAAGTAAAGGCGGTTGGCATGATATTGACCACATCACCCATCAAGGACCATTTGGTCTAGACAAAACAAGAGCCTAGCTTCGTATACTTGATGGGTCTCTGGCGTTATTTGGGAATGATGAATAATAATTGATTTATGGTAAGGACAAATTAGTAATATTTGATTATGGAAATGACCAGTGAACAGCGACTAATTAATAATGATTTATTTCTGTTAACAAAAATGAATAATAATTTATTCTGGTAATGACTAATAAGCACACTACGCCTTCACAGCATGACAGTAGCCAGCGTGCACTGGATTGCAAATTATTACTCCTCATGTCGCTAAATGGCAGAAGTGGTTTATGATGATGATGATGAATGACTAAAGAATATTGGCTGATTTATGATAGTGACTAATGCTTAGTGACATTTAATGATCATGGTGCATGATGGTTTGTTGTGATGAAGATGATAGATGACTGATGATGGATATTGTTTGTGATGATTCATTGTGATAATGAAGAGGTGATTGTGATTAATGACTGATGACAATAGTTGCTTATGATGATTGAGACATAGTAAATGATGGTCATTAATATCGATGGGTAAATTAATGTGATGCCAGATTATGGTGGAGGACTGTAATTGTTGGAGAAGATGTTAGCGATGGAAAAGACTGAAGGGATTCTGTTTTGGGGGATAATTTGATTAACTCTTGTATGATTTTTCTTACATAGGAATTCGACGAAGGGGAATCAGGATCCAGTGACTCAAGGCAGCCAGCGATGTACCTTGAGAAGGTTCACTGGGTCAAAGGTCCTTTACTTGGTACGGGGGCCTACAGTTCCTGTTACCAGGCCAGGGATACCAGAACTGGGGTCATTATGGCTGTCAAGCAGGTGAGAATAGTTAGGTGTTAGGGTTTATAGCTTGTGTTTTTTCAAAGAACCAGCTTTTGCTATATTGCTACCACCAACCTGGGGAGATTTTAGACTAGCAGGAAAGGGCTGTGATGCCGAAACAGTATGATTTTTTAAATAATGTGGAAAACATCATTGATAGTTGAAATAAGTAGTGTTGTGAATGTGCGGTGGGCGCACTTCTGACAGTACTTTATATAAATTTATATTATGCGGATGCTTGACCCTTCCTTGAATACTGCTGCTGTTTGGTAATGGGAGCGACTGTGAGAACTGACTGTTATGAACTGTTAGAAGCAAACAGCCCTGGATCACCAGGAAGCAAGCTGCATTGTGTAAGGAATCCTCGGTTGAGGGGCCTGGTTCTCTTCCTCCAGTGGATCATTTCTCTTGCCTCAAGGTCCGTGATTACAACACAGATAGGACACATAGCTGTCCAATGATAGTAACTCTACTTTGGCTGTCTCAGAGAGTCGGCAATAAGGACTGATGGCAGGCAACATCAAGTTTATTAAACCACCACAGAATGATAATAAGATTATTCATCTCCATTTTTATAATCTTTTATTAAGTTCAGGTTTGTTTGTTTGTCTGGTTCAGTTTTTTGCATTTAATATTTTCTCCATTTATCTGACTAATTGTTCAGTAGCTACTTCCTTTCACATACGCTCGAGCAAGCTATGCTGTATCTACTAATTTAAACTTTAGTATTATTAAATTGCACCTATACAAAGCCAGGTGACACACATTTCCTTACTTCACTATAACATACCCACAAATAGAAAAACAAAAGTTTGCAGCCATCCCGTTTACAAGCTGTGCATGTCCTGTGTGGAAACAGCTCAACTAACAACTGACTTGTTATTCTTGATGCAGAACAACTTCTGTGTGTGCTACGTCTTCACCTTAATTTCTCATCAGAAACTAATTATTGCTGTCTCATATGGTTCACCTATTATTCTTAATGTATGGTCCATCTGGATGTGACTGCAACAAGTAGTTTACATGTTTGGAGAGAGACATCGTCAACAACTTCAGGACTGGGACCCTGAGGACAAAAGACAACACAATGACCTAGAAAAGACCAACACACAGAATATAAAGCATAACAGCCAAATCATAATGAAATAATACCCACAACACAGCAGATGCAGACAGGTAGAAGGACCTGCTAAACACAACCTCAAGCAGGGGCATGGTACAGAAGGAAAAGAACCAGACATGCCCCCCCCCCCCCAAAAAAAAATAACCAAAATTAGGTACAGTTAGGCTCAACCCCCACTTTAAACCAAACACATTGGCGCAAGTAAAAACAAGACCCCCCCCCCCCAACCCCAAGTTGATCCTTTTTTCAAGCAAGGCACTGCTATATGAATGAAGGTTCCACCACAACACAGCAGCTGTGCTTAAATTTCCTTTTAAAACCTCCCGGTTCTTTGCTTTCCCCCCCCCCCCCCCCAGTTCCCGAAAAAAAAAAAAAAAGCAAAATTAGATCACAGTTAGGCTCAACTAACACCACAACAAACTACTTTAGCCAACACATTTGGTGCAAATAAAACCAGACCATAATTAAAACTGAAGCTTTCTTCGGCAGGGTTGAATGTGGACAGTCTAATTTTTCCCCATTTAAAGAACAAACTAACCAATCAGCCATAGACAAATTGTCTTAAAACATTTGGTGAAGCTGCTGGACCACATTATGAGGAGAGAATAATGGGAACACTGTAACATCTGGTAAGATTAAATGGAAAAAGGATGTGGAGGAAGGCACCATTAGAAAAATTCTTGAGACACCCCCCCCCCCCTGGGAAAAGTCATTTAATTATTTATAGCGGAATAAGAAATGGTGTCAGGGCGCGAGAGGCGGGTGGTAAGGTCAGAGCATGTGTGCACTAGGTAGTCTGAGCTGCCACGACATATATTCTTCCATCTGGTAGCTGGTAAGGTTTTCTCTCACTCCCTCATCTTTCCTTTCACTTTTTGTCTTGATGTAGGTATAATAATCTGGGCTGCTGCCAAGCTGTGCTAAGGTATGATACTTTACTGTGACTTTTCACACTCTCCTGACTACCGGACATTCCATGAAAATAGGCTGTCTCATGACACTGCACAAGTTGCAGTGAATAACAAAACAGTGACATAGTTCTTTTACTACCGTCTAGTTCTGTTAGAATAACCACAGTAAATTTGTATATACAATTGTCACCACTATCACTACTGGCTGAACTATCACTGTTATGATAACTGCCACCACTACTCTACCCCCATGTGGTATCAACATATTGTCCCTGCCCAGACCATCCACTTGGACACTTGGTTGATGACTGCCCTCAACCTGCTGAGAACCGGAGCTGTTTCCATTACCTTCCATAGTTCACATGTCTTCTGTGGTTTATGTTTACACCATGATAATCACATATTTCATGTTTTGCTCACGGTTTTATATTTGCTTTATCTCCACCCCTGCAAGGATCTTGGTGGCAGGAATAGGAAGAAATATTACAAAATGAAACATTAAGGGGTAAAGACAAGCTGTGATTAGGAATGTTGTGTGTTGGTAAGACTACTGTATACTTTGTTGGTGTGCTGACACATCCTAGCTATCTGAAGCACCTGGGTGTAACCAGAGGATCTGGCCGGCTGACTACACTCAGAGGAAAGGTGAGATGGACATTTAACCAGATTGTGACCGGTACCATCAGTATTGGAACTCTACCCTGGCTGCTGAAGATGACGGAGCATGCATCTCAATACCCCCAAATGCTGTCATGTCAGTTCTTGACTCAACTCAACTCATCACAACTCATCCAAGCTATCTTTCACTGGGATTCCCGAGGCAGTTAACTGATGTTGCTACATTATCTTTTACAGATTTCATTTTGTCGCAACTCTGCGCAAGAGCAGGAGAAGGTGATTGAAGCCATTTGTGAAGAAATCCACATGATGGCCAGACTGAGCCATCCCAACATTGTTCGCATCCTTGGGGCCACCAAACAAGGCTGCCATTTCAACATGTTTGTAGAGTGGATGCCAGGTGAGGCATGTCTTCTAGTTCATGGGGATATCTGATTCAGATTACTTGTTTATAGGTTTTTTTTCATGGGGACGTTTGACTCAGATTACTTGTTTATAGCGTCATTTCATGGGGGGCATTTGACTCAGATTACTTGTTTATAGGGTCATTTCATGGGGATATTTGACTCAGATTACTTGTTTATAGGGTCATTTCATGAGGACGTTTGACTCAGATTACTTTTTTATGGGATCATTTTATGGGGACATTTGACTCAGATTACTTGTTTATAGGATCATTTCAGGACATTTGACTCAGATTACTTGTTTATAGGGTCATTTAATGGGGAAATTTGACTCAGATTACTTGTTTATAGGGTCATTTCATGGGGACATTTGACTCAGATTACTTGTTTATGGGGACATTTGACTCAGATTACTTGTTTATAGGGTCATTTCATGGGGACATTTGACTCAGATTACTTGTTTATAGGGTCATTTTATGGGGACACTTGACTCAGATTACTTGTTTATAGGGTCATTTAATGGGGAAATTTGACTAAGATTACTTGTTTATAGGGTCATTTTATATGGGGGAAATGGGACATTACTTGTTTATAGGGTCATTTTATGGGGGGAGGGGGACATTTGACAGATTACTTGTTTATAGGATCATTTTGTGGGGGTGGGGAGGGGGGGGGGCATTTGACTAAGATTACTTGTTTATAGGGTCATTTCATGGGGGGACATTTGACTCAGATTACTTGTGTATAGGGCTGCTTGACCCTTTTACCCTGGCAACTTTTTGGTGGAAGAGGTCCAGAGCCGAGAATCTTCCGGGGAAATTTAATTATTTAAAAAACGTGTTTAACACAAGTTACTAATAATTAAAAAAAAATTCTTTATTACCATTAAAGAAAGAAGAAAGTTATGGTGCTCATTGGCAAGAAACCTTTTTAAAATCGCATCTTATGACATGCATGGTAGGTTACGGTGCTCCAATTCCCATTGAGGGTATTTAAACTCAAGACTAGTGTCTCACCAGGCAGATGCACAAGCCACTACCTTACTGTGGCATAATTGCTGTGTGAAAGATAAGTGGAAGAGCTGTGACTACAAGACAAGCCTGTTTTCCCAATTTATGAGCCTTTAAAAATAAAGTTTATTGATTTGTTTTTGTTTGTTTAACCCTTTTAGCATGGGAAGTTTTTCAGAGGTCTAGCCAAAAACACGGAGCATTTTTTCAGTGAATTTGGTTATTACTTTATTTAATTTTTTTGACAGATTTCTGTTATTCTGACCCCTATGAAATAATATATCTATTTGAAGGATATAGATTGAAGTTCGTGATTTTCACAATATCGTTAAAATTAATTGATGTATTTGCAAATTATCTCATTTGCATATCTAAAAATAGAAAATATGAATTTGAATTTTCAACTTCAATGCTTGAAACATAAAACTAAAAACAAAAATTTTTTTAATTTGAAATCACTTTATTGATCCTTGGCCTTTTTACAAATGTTGTAAGCAATTCAATAGTCAAAAACAGGTATATATATGTGAAACAGCAATAATATCTTTAGGTGACATGTGTTTTTCACCATCAGTCAGCACTAGAAATAAATGTGCCGGAGTGTCAACACCTTCGGGTGCATATACCCTGAGCCATGGTTGGACTGTGGTCTGAACACAACAGCGTCCCCATCTGATTCCCACTATTACTACTAACACTAAATCCTGCATCAGTATCAACAGAATTAGTGTAATCACTTGATTCAAATGTTTTATCAACATCAAGTTTAGGGGCAGAAACATACGAGTCAGACATACTTTTAGCAGTTCAGGTCACTATCTAAATAATTCAACAACAATTTTCACATCGATACCAAACACTCGAAAGTCGCCATGTGTAAAGCTGATACCGCAGTTAATATAAATGAATCACTTTCAGTGTTTCAAAGTAGGAGATTTCTTAGCGGTTCGAGGCGAAACACGATCGGGCCGATGATCGGCCGTTCCGTGTTTTTAGCCAGACATCCGCCGGCCGATAATCGGCCCGTCCGTGCTAAGAGGGTTAATATACCTAACAAAGAATTAGGAAGAAGACAATGGTTTTATAATTGTGGCTGTCTTGATTTTCATATTCTTGACGTTAGAAGGCAGTCAGACACTGAATTAATTTCCCCGCCTTTTGTGTGTTCTTAGGTGGCTCATTGGCCTATTTGTTAGGGGAATATGGGCCGTTCATGGAGAATGTTCTAGTCAACTATACAAGACAGGTGCTTCGTGGCCTGGCATATCTCCATGACAACCACATTCTACACAGGGATTTGAAAGGTAAAGTTCATAGGTCACGTATTTATACCGGATGTGACTTTGTTGTGTTTGTTATTTTGTGTTGAGTGCCCTTTACAGTTAAAGAAGGGCTTATTTTGAAAAAAAAAAAAAAAAGAGGGGGTGATCGTAAAAAGTAAAGGACCTGTTTTCAAGCCTCTAGGTCTTCCTTTTGGTCCTGGGGCCATGTTAGGGAGAAAACAAGAATAGACCCAATGCCTCCCCAACAAGCACGTCGTAAGAGTTGACTAACTGGAGGCATCCGTGAAAGTTGCATCTGCCTGAGAGGCAAAGAACTAAGAGTCTGTATGCAAAGAAACCAGATGTGCGAAATGGATGTACATGCAACACTCAGGTTCTGGAACAAGATTCAAATCTGAAGGTAACAAACACCCAGAGCTTTCCGCTGGAGTTTACAGCCGGTGAACGCAGAGAAGAAAAGATGATATGGTCTTTATAATTTAGATCACGTTTATATCCTAGAATAATTCCTGGCAACCATATTAATATCACTTGAGAGCAGTTTAAAAACCTGTGAAGATTCATTCTAACAACCATAAAGCTGGCTACTCAGGATTGTCACGAGATTGCCATACAAAATAATTATTATTCTGAATTTGCTTTTCATTGACACTGGGCGTCATTTGCTTAGATAACTAAATGACACTTCTGACGCCAGTGGTACATTGTATATGTGATGATCAGCTAATTTGTATAGAGCTGTTAGCACTCGGCGGTGATTTGGTCAATGTCACACCTGCCACTTTTACTTCCCAAGACTTTACCTGGTATTTAGTTTCAGACTGGGTCGACCTTGGAGCTAAGGTCATTTCACAAACTGACTGGATGTGCACCAAACTCAAGAAATTTTGGATGGTAGATGAGCATCTAACCACTTTGCTACCATAGCTCTTAGATATTTTTAGTTAACATTGAAATAGAAATTGTATATTCTGTAGGTGTCAGTCAGTTGACAACATTATAATAGAAACTATATTCTATATATATCAGTTAGTTGGCAGCATTGCAATCTTCTTCTTCTTCTTCTACTTCTTGGCTCAATAACGAGACACCTGTATACTTCTCACAGTCTCTCTTGCTGCCTTTCTTCTTCCGGATGGGTACTATTATTGTGTTTCTCTCTGTTGTCCCGACTAGGTTGAACAGTCTGTGCATCCATTTTACGCCTAGCTGTTCTGTTGCTTTGACTAGTTCAGCAGGTAAATCATCAGGGCCTGGTGCTTTGTTGGAAGGTGCCTCTTATATAGCTTTTCTCATTTCTGTGAGTTAAGCTTGGGTCTAAATTTTCATTTATGTAGCCATTGTTTTCTTGTGCTGTGGACTGTTCCTCTGATTGTAAATTAAGTAGATTGTTGAAATGTTAAGACACCATCTTTTTTGGACCTTTTGTGGTTCGTTTAAGGGTACTCCCGTCTTGTCATTTATAATCTCTGTTGGGTCATATTGGTTGTTCCTATCTCTCATAACTTTAATTTGCTTGTAAAAGTTTTTCGTAGCACTTTTAAGGTCTGCATTTAACATTTCACTGTATTTCTGCCGTGGTGTTTCTTTGACGTTTCTGACGACACCTCTGGCTATCGTTTTTGCCGGTCTGTATTCTTCAAGATCATCTTGATTTTAACTTTTCGCCCACGCCTGGCATCTACATGTCCTCACTGTTGTTTTTACTTCCTCGTTCCACCAGGGTTTTATTAGTGGTCTTGTGCTTCTCTTCTTTATGATTCCGCATGTTTCTCTTATTGCTTCTAAAATTGTGATTCTTTAAACATTTCCCATTCCTACTCTACTGAATTGGTGTCTTTAGTTAGCCTTGTATAATCTTCACTAACTTTTTGAAGGTATGCTTCTTGTGTGTTAGCATACTTTAAGTTGTTACTTTTGTATATTTCTTTTGTGGTTTAATGTAGTCCTCTGGTATTCCTCCCACTGTACATCCTAATGGTCAGCATGACCACCTTTATATTCTGTAGGTGTCAGTTAGTCAGGTGGCATTTTAATCATTGTTACTGTATATTTTATATTCTGTAGGTGTCAGTTAGTCAGGTGGCATTTTTATCATTTACTTTATATTTTATATTCTATAGGTGTCAACTAGCCAGGAAGCATTTAAATCATTTACTTTATATTTTATATTCTATATTCTATAGGTGTCAGTTAGCCAGGTGGCATTTTAATCATTTACTTTATATTCTGTAGGTGTCAGTTAGCCAGGTGGCATTTTAATCATTGTTACTTTATATTTTATATTCTGTAGGTGTCAGTTAGCCAGGTGGCATTTTAATCATTGTTACTTTATATTTTATATTCTGTAGGTGCTAATCTTTTAGTTGACAGCACTGGCCAGAACCTTCGAATTGGAGATTTCGGGGCCTCTGCCCGCCTTGCTTCACAGGCTACAGGTGCTGGAGAGTTCCAGGGCCAGCTGCTGGGCACCATTGCATTCATGGCACCAGAGGTGAAAACACTGAGTGGACATAAGTTGGCTGTTTGTGGCTCTTACTGTCTTACTGCCTGTGTTTGTCAGTTTTAGAGCGGTCTAGTACTGAAGGTTATGATCCTGAGGATTTAAGGCTGCTTAGCTATTGCAGTTGCCACAGACATGGTTAGGATTTTTTATTGTTGCTCCTAACAGAAAAATCTCAGTCTCTTGCAGAGGATTGAATTGGGATCTCCTTCAGGAGAACCCAGTGCCCTAACCACTCGGCCAGCTGCTTTATATTAATAACCTTCATATTCTTATGAACGCAAGTGTTCATGGCCATTAAGTCTTGATTTACTAGCGCACGTGTTTGCAAGTCTCCGGATAATTGTTTTGTCTCTAGTTGGGGTCTCTCTGTCTCCTCACCGCCTAAATGTTACATCACAGTTTTGTCTAAATTTGTTGGTGTTATTTTCCTTTAAAATAATCTTACCATCATCCGACCTTTCTGGGTTATTTCCTGTCCATTTACGATGCGGTAACTATTGAGGCTGCAGCATTTGTTGTTCAAGCATGGATGTGGATTGTGATAGGCTTAACTGAGAAAGATGACTTTAATGTTTTCTTTTGTGTAGTTGAATCGTCTGTCTGTTCGGAAGGCTTTTAGCTGTTGTATTTATTTGTCATTTGTGATTATGTGTTATCGGAAAGGCTGATTTGTGTTCTGCTTCTTGTTAGTTTGATTTTTCTTCATACCTTCATAAACAACTGGACTTTGTAGACAAGTGTACACACTTTGTTACTTTTCTAAATAACATAGTTAATTGTCATTAAAGATACATACAAAATAGTTAATTGTCTGTGAATAAATTTGCAAGATGGTTATTTTGTCTTTTAAGAAATATACAGTGTGGTTAATTGATTGTGAAGAAATATACAGTGTGGTTAATTGATTGTGAAAAAATATACAGTGTGGTTAATTGATTGTGAAGAAATATACAGTGTGGTTAATTGATTGTGAAGAAATATACAAAACAGTTAAATGTCCAGAAAAAATACTCAAGAAAGGGCTATCCTCTGAATAACGGTTTTAAATTATCGAGGCGTAAAATATACCCTAACAGGGCCTCAGTCACGTGTTAATTGTGCACTTGTGGTGGCGTTATAGTCCCCGGAAGTGCGCAGTTGACACGTGACTGAGGCCCTGTTAAGGTATATTTTCCGCCTCGATAATTTAGGACCGTTATTAGGAGAATAGCCCAAGAAAGTTTTTTGTTCAAGAAATGTGGAATATATTGAATTGTTAGGGAGCGAAAATAGAAAAAAGTCCAGAATGAAATGTACCAGAAAATTATTTATCCAAGAAGAAATATACAAGAAATTAATTATCCAGTAAAGAATACACAGAAAGCTTAATTGTCTAGGAAAAAAAATACAACATTTAGTTGTCCAAGAATAAAGTTAATGGCTTGAGAAGGGAATTTAGGTAAATTGTAGTTTATGTATAGAAGATATTTACATTTAATATGACATTGGTTTATCTAGGTACTGAGAGGAGAAAGCTACGGCCGAGCGTGTGATGTCTGGAGTGTTGGCTGTGTCATGATTGAAATGTCCACAACCAAACCACCTTGGAATGCTACAGATGTCTCCAATCACCTGGCTCTCATATTTAAGGTAATGTTTGTTGTTAGGTATCATTAAAATGATCCCACCCCAAAAGCGGAGGTATTTGGGCCATGATAAACGTGGTGGTGGCCTGGAGATATTGTTGGTGGAGGGTAGTCTCTGGAAAATGAGGCAGTGGCAGACCTCCATGAAAGTGAATACAAGACATTGAAGATGCAATGTCTATGAAAGTCTGTCAATCATCAATCATCTGTTCTCTTTATGTCTTGTGGCACATGAGGCTTCAGAGAGGACTTTCCATGCCTTCCTGTCCTGTGCAATCTTCAGTGCAGTTTTTCCATGTCAGAAATGCAGCACTCAGTTCACTTTCCATCGGTTATCTGCTGTTTTTGGGCCTCCCTTCTTTCTTTCCTCCTGGTGTCCAAGTAAGAGCTGTTAGGGCAAATATATCAGGATTCATTCTCATAACATGGCCAAGCCATTTCCATCTTTTTTTAATCATACTGTCTAGAGTTTCTTGGTTTGTGACTTGAAGTGGTTCAGTGTTTGAGATTGTATATGACCAGAAAACTTTTTTAAAAATGTACAGATCAGAAGAATTTGTATCATTGCTGAATTAAAGTTGCTGTTGTTGTAATCATTTATGTAAATATTGACAAGTGTGAATGGTGAAATGGAGAGGAAAGAAAATAGCTCTCAGCTAACAGTGTCTGAAATACCCCCTCCCCCCCCCCCCCCCCCCCATCCCCGACGCAGTCATATCTCCCTCTCCGAAGGATTGAAAAATCATTACCTGGCGAAATTATTAAACAGAAATAATTAAGAAATGTGAACTTTAAAATAATATTATAAGCTCTCGCAGCTAACTATGTTTGGCACCCCCCCCCCCCCTTTTTTTTTTTTTTCTCCGAACAATCATATCTCCCTCTCCTTAGGATAGAAAAATCATCACCTGGCAAAATTATTCAAATATAAATAGTTGAGAAATGAGAACATTAAAATAATATTTTAAGCTCTCTCAGCAAACGGTGTCCTGCATTCCCCCCCCCCCCCCCCCCCCCCCCCGCCGTCGCCGCCGCTCCCCCAATCATATCTCCCTCTCCGAAAGATTGAAAAATCATCGCCTGGCGAGGTCATAACTCCTTCTCAGAAAGACTGAAAAATTATCCATGGTGAAATTATTAAAATAGAAATAGTTAAGAAATGAGAACTTAAATAATATTTACGCTCTCTCAGCTGTGTCTGGAATAACCCCCCCCCCCCCCTCCCCTCCACTAATCATATCTCCATCTCCGAAGGATTGAAAAATCATCACCGGGCGAAATTATTAAAATAGAAATAGTTAAGAAATGAGAACTTTAAAATAATAATTTAAGCTCTCTCAGCTAACTGTGTCCAGCATAATTCCCCCCCCCTCCCACAATCGTATCATCCTTTCTGAAGGATGGAAAAGTCACCGTGTAACAAAATACCATAACTAAACTGAGCTTGGCATCCGTGTCCACCCAGACTTAAATAGGTAGCATTAACTTGTACAGAGAAGTAAATGTAGCCAGTGTAACAGCTACCACATCACCTATCCAGTACCAGTACTACTGCAACCACTACCACCACCACCATCACAACAACAACAACAAAAACTGTCACTACAGTCTGTGTTGGTCGGTGTAGAAAAGGATAGCTAGCGCCGCATACTGTCGCCACGGACTATTTAGTTTAATTTTGCCCCGGACATAGGAAAAAAAAACTTCATCACGTAACCAATGATGGAACCCACAGTGAAAAGTACACTATACTCATGAATAGGGGAGAAAAATACCCTGCACCCGTCATCTCTCCCTCTCCGAGGGAACGATTTTTAACTGACCTTGTCATCCGTGTCCACCCAAACTAAACTGGACTGTAAGCCGTCTTAGTTAACAGTTTCTGTCATCGCCCAATAGTTTTTGATCGAGAAGCTTCGCGGGGAGGCTAATTAGGACTAAACTGAAATCGGATGTCTTTGGGCGAAAGGCGCAGATATCACAGCCTAGCTGTAAACCACAACACAACGTGGCAACCACCCTTTTAAGGGAAAAAGAACAATTATTACCCAACGGGGAATCAAACACCGGTCACTTAAGTGAAGGATGACATACTTACAAGTTTACTACCGACGACTGAAGAGTTTAGGTCAGATATTGCAGCCTAGCTGTAAACCACAACACAACGTGCCAACAGCCCTCTCGAGGGCGAACGAAGATTATCCGTGACATGACCACTGAGCATCACGTTGCCGCTGTCGCAGGCTAGCTGTAAACCCCAAAACCGAAAAAGGCGTAGATATCGCAGCCTAGCCATAAACCACAACACAACGTACCATCCGCCCAGTTAAGGGCTAAAAAAAATTATATCACCTAGTGGGGAATTGACGCGAGTCACCCTCATAATAGGCAGAATAGTTAACAACTACGCTACCATACACTCTAGCAAATAGTGGAAATGAAATTATATAATAATGCAAAGTTCAATAAGAGCTCAGCAGTCAAATACGACAGATCACATAAAAACACATCCGGGCCGGCAACGAAACAAATAAAGATTTGACCGTTGTTGGAGCTATGTCGTTCGTGGTTTGTGCGATTTTCTGACAAAAAATCACACTTGGAGTCAAAGGCAACGCTGTGTGCAAATTTGAAAGCAATCGGTTCAGTAGTTTCCGAATTCTTAGCTTACATCATCGGAAAATTAACATTTTTATTAATATAGATGGAAAGGATTGTGCTAATTTTGCAGATTTTCTTATCAGTTAATTAATCCCCCATAATGTGATTGTTCTGGGGCCCCATTGTGAAGAAAACAAGAATGTACCCACTGCCTCCCAACAAGCATGTCGTAGGAGTAGACTACTTGGGAGCTTCCTTTAAAGGTGGAGTACATCTGCCAGAGTGGCAAGGAACAACCAGCTGCACCCAAATAAGCCAGTAAAACAGATGTACACGCACAACTCAGGCCATGGCACAAAGCCAAAGTCCAAACGGACGAACACCCAGAACTTTCTGCCAGAGCTCACAGCTGGTGAACAAAGACGAAGAAGAAGATACCCTCCACCCCAAATCTTTTTCTTTTGCGGGTGGCTCCATCTGTTTAATTCACCTTCAGTCTATTGTTTTTGCCTTAGCTGATTCCCCTATAATCTGTTCCTATTTTTATGTTCTCTAGTATGTCCTTATTCTCAGAATATCTTGGACAAAGAAGATGAGAAATATTGACATCTTAAAAAATCTGAACATCAAGAAAGATTGGCTAATAAACAGCATCCTTTCTAGAAAGCTGAAATATTTTGGTCATATCAAGCGCCATGACGGATTGGAAAAAATTATAGCAGAAGGCATGGTACCAGGAAGGAGGGGCAGGGGCCGACCGACATGAAGATGGGCACAGGATATAGCTGACTCCTTGAATGTGAAAGTGCATGAGGCGGGAGAACTGGTGAGAAACCGAGTTTCTTTCAGGCAGACTGTGATGAGAGCGACGTTCTGCAAAGGACCTGCTACATGATGATGAGTGTGTCTTTCTCTCTCTCTCTCTCTGTGTGTGTGTGCGTGCATGCGTGTGTTTGTATATATATATATATATATATATATATATATATATATATATATATATATATATATATATATATATATATATATATATATATATATATATATATATATATATAATGCTTCATCAGTTGTTTTACTTCCAGTCTATTTTCCTAATTTGCAGATTGCCTCATCAGTGGATTCTCCTCCAATCCCAGAGCATCTTTCACCCCCAGTAAGGGACTTGATGCTGAGATGTCTGGAGCAGAACTCTGAAGATCGACCCTCAGCCAAAGATTTGCTGCTTCACCCTCTCTTTACCCGGTGCTTCCAAAGTACATCACGCAGTACAGCAGTCTAGGGCAGCTCAGGTCACTGATGTGTAAGCATACACCTGTATATATTGTTGATAGCTATGTATTAACTCTCACTGCGAGAAGGCTACAAAAAAACAAAAAGGCCATGATCCAGTTAGAGTTCCAGTTCCAGATAAATTCTTTAAAAAAAAGAAAATCACACAGGTGACTAATAAATTATGTAATAATGTTTTTTATCTGCATTGTGAAATCTTTTTTCTCCACAATATATAAAGATACTTGAGAAGGGTAATTAGTAAACACAGACAGGGTGAAGTGTTTAATGGAATACAGTCTTTCCTGGGGTCTAAACAAACGCATGCATCTGAGAAATCCTGCTTTGAACTAGTGACCTCTATCACTGAGGCCTACCTCCATTTTGAAGCCAGCTTGGCTCTTTAGTGGCTGTGGTGCTATTTTGTGCCAAGTGGCATAAAAATTATTCTTTTATTGGCTAAAGAGGATGAGTGCAGTTAATTCTTTACCCTTGTTTATGTTTAATTATCACACCCTTTATCATTGAGAATTTCTGGTAAGTATGGCGGATAGGCGGGCTTACTGTTTTAAGTCTGGCAAGTTTTTGCTTTTGACAATCCTTAGCCGCTGTATTTTCATACATATATAGACTAAAGGATACAGTGCCCTTGTCCAGGGTGGTTTGGGTTGTGAACTGCAAATTTAGAAAAAGGCGAGTAGCCTGTTCCCAGAGAACTTGTGGTGCCTTATGCGACACACATGGGGGTGGGGGGGAGGGAGGGGGGTGACTAAGCTGCCCCGAACCATGCATGAGTTGGTTTCTTCATACATGCCAGGTGGTCAGCAGATCCAGGTATTGATCTCTCTGTCTTCTCATTGATTCTTTTCCATCAGATTTGCCTGTTGTGAATATTTCTTCTTCACGTTCACTGGCTGTACACTCCGGAGGAAAGTTCTGGTTGTTCGTCAGCCTCTGGACTTTAGTCTTCTTCTAGAAGCTGAGTGTATGTTGCATGTACATCCTGTTTACAGATATTACATATATGATTGCAGACTGTTGGTTCCGTGCCTCAGGCAGATGAACTCTGACTTTGAAGGATAGCCCCCAATTAGTCTTATGACAAGCTTGTTGGGGAGGAAGTGGGCCTATTCTTGTTTTTCCAATAGGGCCCCAGAACCCTCTTGGGGATCTCTTGTGATTAAGTTTTAAAGTTATTTATCCTTAAAATACACCCCACCCCATCCTCCAAAGACCTTGGCTATCTATGTGTAATGTCCTTGGTCGGTTTCAGTCATCTGTTTCTTGAAAGAGTGCTTTGTTTTTCTTTTCTGTCTTTCTGCGATAGTCTCTCAGCATCCCCATTTTGTGAGGAAATGAGGTTTTACACAGTTGGGGTTTTGCTCTTCAACCCTTTCCCCAACCCAAACCTGGAAGACCAGGGTGTGTCTGTCTGTTCTCTAGACCCCCTGACCTGTCCAGCTTAGGAGGTCTTGCTGGTAGTTAGGCTGCTGCTGCTGCTGCTGCTAACATTGTATTAGAAATACAATCTGGGATAGCTCTGACCATCATTTAGAAATACAATCTGGCAAAGCTCTGACCATCATTTAGAAATACAATCTGGCATAGCTCTGACCAACATTTAGAAATACAATCTGGCAAAGCTCTGACCATCATTTAGAAATACAATCTGGCATAGCTCTGACCATCATTTAGAAATACAATCTGGCATAGCTCTGACCAACATTTAGAAATACAATCTGGCAAAGCTCTGACCATCATTTAGAAATACAATCTGGCATAGCTCTGACCATCATTTAGAAATACAATCTGGCATAGCTCTGACCATCATTTAGAAATACAATCTGGGATAGCTCTGACCATCATTTAGAAATACAATCTGGGATAGCTCTGACCATCATTTAGAAATACAATCTGGGATAGCTCTGACCATCATTTAGAAATACAATCTGGGATAGCTCCGACCATCATTGAGAAATACAATCTGGGATAACTCTAACATTTAGAAATACAATCTGGCATAGCTCTGACCATCATTTAGAAATACAATCTGGGATAGCTCTGACCATCATTTAGAAATACAATCTGGCATAGCTTTGACCGTCATTTAGAAATACAATCTGGCACAGCTCTGACCATCATTTAATGATTAAGTGATTTTGTGTCTATGTGTAGTACTGTTTCATTTGTATGTGCTGATAAAGGCTCAGTAGCCGCAACCAGTGTTGCCACTTTGGATCTTTTATATCCAAATTTAGATCTTTTTCATTGCATTTAGATACTGTTTTTGACGTTTAGATCGTAAATATTTTTCTAGACACTTTTCATATGGAGTTAGATATTTTATAGATTTTTTTCCCCTTTCATTGTCAATTTAATAATTACTGTGTAAAATATTTACTTCAATATTTTTGTTTTGGTCTGGCACGTACATTGTGACAACTGCCATTACTTGAACTTTGAATTCTCACTGGGGTTAACGCACAAATATCTGGCAGCCCCGGTACTGATTAATAAAAACGCGCGTAAATCATACAAACTTTGTTTCAACCGTATCCTCACTGTGCTGACTATGCGTTTCTTTTTCATGTGACTTAAAAAAAAATAATTGCTCACCTTCTTATGTGGCTTTCACTTTGAAAAAACCTTTCAACATGCCAAAAGTAAAGTATGAGCAAAAAATTTGGAAAGAGTGGTTGCATGATGACAAAATTAAAAATTGGGGATATGACCAAAGCTTGTTGTAAGTACTGCAAGTGTGAAATTAAAGCGAAAATACAAAACTCAAAGAGTCATGCAGAGACTAAAAAAAGCATAAAACTGCAGTTTCATTTAAAGATATTACACCGCTGACATCTGTTTTCAGAACTATACTGATAAATGAATCATCAAAAGTTGAAGTATCAGTCGCAATGTTTTTTAAATTTGTCACTGCGCAATTTCAAACTGTGACCATTTGATCGATTTGTAAAAAATCTTGGACTAGTTCAATTTGAAAAGTGTGATGTAGAAAGTATAGTTTAGGAACTGAAGGACCTTTTAATCAGCAAACAATTAGGCTTGAAGAATTGGGCTGTAATTGGTACTGATAATGCCTCAGTGATGGTTGGTATAAACAATGGCGTTTATGCCAAGTTAAAGGAAGCTAACCCATCGTTAATACTTATAAAATGTATGCGTCATTCATTGCAGCTAGCATTATCACATGCTTCATTTAAATATTTACCAAGGAATTTGGAATACCTTATTGCTGAAACACTTTACTGGTTTTCATAATCATTTGTCAGACAACATTTTAACCAGCTGTTTTAAAAAAAATTATGGGAAGGGAATGGCTGAAAATTTAAGAAAACACTTTGAAATAAAAAAACAAAGTTAAAAAATTTCTCCAGCTGAAATTTCTATATGGAAAAGTACAGTAAAGAAAAATTTTTCATTTTCATTCTCTTTTTTATTTAAAAAAAAAAAAAAAAAAACCCAAAAAAAAAAAAAAAAAAAATTTTAAAAAAAAACGGAAAAATGCAAAAAGTTTAAACTGTTGATTTTAAACTTGTTTATAAATTTTTTGCTTTAAAGATCCCCGCCTTTCTTTTTCACTCGGTAAAAGACTGGTGTTGACAAATTCTAAAGGGGTGATTTGCCCCACTTTTCCTTTAGAACTATTTGGCTCATAACCCCACCTTTTGGGTACTAAATCAATCAAAAAATTTATGATTTAAAAACAAAAGGGCTGTTTAAAAGAGAAAGAAGAGAAAAACTTGAGAAAAAGCTGTCAAGAAATTTTCCCCCATC